GCAGAAATGATGAGATGGACAAAGATCCCTGCAGGTCATCTGAGGGGACTGCAGCAATAAATTAAGTTTATTTGTGTGTGTGACTTGTGGCTGTATTAATAGCAGTGTTTACCTGCGCCCTCTGTGAAATTAGTCCTTCAGCCTCTCTAAATGGAAAAAAACTGATTACGTTCACAAACAAAGCATCAATTGCAGCTAAGACATAAATTTAAAGCCTGAGTGAGCAACCACGCATGATGTAAATCCACTTACTAGCGTAGTATTCATCATCATAATTACACCCTACAGTCCCAAACAAAAACACTCCTAAGGTCAGGTAATGATCAAGGATGTAACATAACCAATAGCTGCTTGGAATATATATTTATTAAAAGCATTTTAATATCTATAACAGCCAACAGTGAGGGGCAGCAGACAGGAAGCTTACTGATGAGACACAAAAGTCTTGAGATTATTTAAATGTAAGGATAAATGAGAATGCAATTGTGTCTGTTTTATGTTGTTGGCAGAGCAGTCAGTTTGCATGACCCTTTAGCGCCATCTAGTGATTAATCCAGGTAGGCTGCCCTTAAGACACAAAACAGTAACTGAGCAAAATCACAGTCTGTTTTTGTGAAGTAACATACCTTTATTGTGCCTCTTGGCTACTTGCTTACTTTACTTTTACTTTATTTCACCAGGATAATCCACTCAGTATCACCACAGCCCAAGGAGTCCTGCAAACATAACAAATAACTCAATAATTCATTAAAAACAGTTGGTACAATTTGTTGATTAAGTCTGTTGGACCTCTCTGTCATGTCTTTGGAATTTAGGTGTTTCTATCTTGAATATATTTTCAATAAAAGGCATACTTAATGCAAATTGGTCTCATGGATTTGCAAGTGTCTTACTGTTTGGGTACATGCCAACTCCCTTATTTCTTGGACTGCTGTTGTGTCTCCCTTCCTCAGTGCCAAATGCATGCTGGCAGAGTCTCCAGCCACCTGTTACCCTGTATAGACAAAATAAACAAAGAAAACGTCATTTAATTCTGCCCATATTCTCAATGTAATGCATCCATATGTTTGGCTTCTCAGCGTGTTCCTCAGTTAGTCACACTGAAAAAGTAAACTCATTATAAGACTAGTGAAACTTTGATGTGCTGTATGTTTTCCTGTCTCGGTGGATTTAGTTATGTGGAATATGCTGCATGGAGAGTGGGAGTATGAACTGAGCTGCCCTCTGGGAGCCATAGAACACCTACATGTATCCCTGTGCTGCTTATATTTACATACATATCTATAAATTTATGGACAAACACACTGTTTGACAAATAAGAAATATGCAGTTGTATAATGTAAACAAATCCAACACAATAGAACTCCACTAAATTCTACAAATCATATGTCTGTTGTGAGATTTGTATTTAGTATAAGTGAATTTTTGCTCTGCTTATTCTGTAAAAGAGAAGTTCACTGGTTTGATTCAATCTCATCTTTTACTCCAATAAATCAATCGCAGAAAATAATTGTTGACTGAACAGAGGTTTATGAAGCACAGGTCCTGTGATATATAATTGGTCCCAGCGGCGGCACCATATGGTGGTTTAATCCAGACCTCTTTGATCACTGACCTGGCAAGCTATTTTTCAGTTTTTGCACATTTTTGGACACCTCTGCAGGAATGCAAAATGCACTCCAAGAAGATAAATGGAATCCACAGATCAGTATGGACAACCAAAGAAACCTTTTTTTTTTTCCTGCAGTGAAAAGAAAAAAAAAATACATATACAACATAAAACAAACTGCTTGATTGAAATCAAACAATCAGGTAGATCAACTGTGAAAAATAATTTGTGTGTGTATATGTGTGTGGGTAGGAAAGACATACTTAGCCTTTGGAATGTGGCAGATTTTGGAAATATTGGAAAAATAATGGTCTAAAACACCTTTAAATACAGTTTTGGTCATATTTTAAATTTGGATTTCAAACAAGAATTTAAAAACCAGCCTTGAAATAATGCCAAAACTGCAAATATAAAAGAAACTTACATTCAGTAGCGGAAAATAATTAAGTATATTTACTCAAATACCAGCAATACTTGAGTATTTATATTTTGTGCTACTTTGTATTCAACTTAAGTGCATTTCAGAAGGAAATATTTACTTTTTACACCACTTATGTAAGAGCTTAAGTTACTTAGCAGAAAAAAATGTATTTTAAATGTATGTATATACTGCACTGTACATGTGTATGCATATGTGTATATGTCTGTATGCCAGGATGGTTGCTTATGACTGACTTTTAAGTTGGATGTTTTTTGTTTTTGTTTTTCCCTTAATTGACTGTAAATCCTCTCATATCACATCAGCTGTATTTTTGTATGAAGTCAATATGTTAGAATATACAGTACAGGCCAAAAGTTTGGACACACCTTCTCATTCAATGCGTTTTCTTTATTTTCATGACTATTTACATTGTAGATTCTCACTGAAGGCATCAAAACTATGAATGAACACATGTGGAGTTATGTACTTAACAAAAAAAGGTGAAATAACTGAAAACATGTTTTATATTCTAGTTTCTTCAAAATAGCCACCCTTTGCTCTGATTACTGCTTTGCACACTCTTGGCATTCTCTCCATGAGCTTCAAGAGGTAGTCACCTGAAATGGTTTCCACTTCACAGGTGTGCCTTATCAGGGTTAATTAGTGGAATTTCTTGCTTTATCAATGGGGTTGGGACCATCAGTTGTGTTGTGCAGAAGTCAGGTTAATACACAGCCGACAGCCCTATTGGACAACTGTTAAAATTCATATTATGGCAAGAACCAATCAGCTAACTAAAGAAAAACGAGTGGCCATCATTACTTTAAGAAATGAAGGTCAGTCAGTCCGGAAAATTGCAAAAACTTTAAATGTGTCCCCAAGTGGAGTCGCAAAAACCATCAAGCGCTACAACGAAACTGGCACACATGAGGACCGACCCAGGAAAGGAAGACCAAGAGTCACCTCTGCTTCTGAGGATAAGTTCATCCGAGTCACCAGCCTCAGAAATCGCAAGTTAACAGCAGCTCAGATCAGAGACCAGATGAATGCCACACAGAGTTCTAGCAGCAGACCCATCTCTAGAACAACTGTTAAGAGGAGACTGCGCCAATCAGGCCTTCATGGTCAAATAGCTGCTAGGAAACCACTGCTAAGGAGAGGCAACAAGCAGAAGAGATTTGTTTGGGCCAAGAAACACAAGGAATGGACATTAGACCAGTGGAAATCTGTGCTTTGGTCTGATGAGTCCAAATTTGAGATCTTTGGTTCCAACCGCCGTGTCTTTGTGAGACGCAGAAAAGGTGAACGGATGGATTCCACATGCCTGGTTCCCACTGTGAAGCATGGAGGAGGAGGTGTGATGGTGTGGGGGTGTTTTGCTGGTGACACTGTTGGGGATTTATTCAAAATTGAAGGCACACTGAACCAGCATGGCTACCACAGCATCCTGCAGCGACATGCCATCCCATCCGGTTTGCGTTTAGTTGGACGATCATTTATTTTTCAACAGGACAATGACCCCAAACACACCTCCAGGCTGTGTAAGGGCTATTTGACCAAGAAGGAGAGTGATGGAGTGCTGCGGCAGATGACCTGGCCTCCACAGTCACCGGACCTGAACCCAATCGAGATGGTTTGGGGTGAGCTGGACCGCAGAGTGAAGGCAAAGGGGCCAACAAGTGCTAAACACCTCTGGGAACTCCTTCAAGACTGTTGGAAAACCATTTCAGGTGACTACCTCTTGAAGCTCATGGAGAGAATGCCAAGAGTGTGCAAAGCAGTAATCAGAGCAAAGGGTGGCTATTTTGAAGAAACTAGAATATAAAACATGTTTTCAGTTATTTCACCTTTTTTTGTTAAGTACATAACTCCACATGTGTTCATTCATAGTTTTGATGCCTTCAGTGAGAATCTACAATGTAAATAGTCATGAAAATAAAGAAAACGCATTGAATAGGTATACCGTGATATGTAAATTGATGGTTATCATACTGTGTACATTCTGTTATCTACGAAAATGCAATTGGATGTAGAATCTCTCCTTTATTACAGTTATTTAGTTTCCCATAGGGGAGACTTTTTAGACATCCATTAACAAGATGGTTCCAAGTTTCAATTATAGCAATAAAACATTTGTTCAACCAACAAAAACCCTTTGTTCATTCATTTTCATTCCTTTCAGAGTTGTTTAGGTAAAAATGTATATATATATTATCATCAAATAAAATATATTTTGTTGTATATTTTGTCATAGATTAATCTGTAAACTACAATGACCAGCTACAACATTAAATATGAAATCAGTGACATTAATCCAATACTATGAAATATAATGATATAACTTATGAGTATTTTTGCTATTGATAAGCTGCTACTTTTCTGTATTTTTCCTTAAAAGTTTGAATGCAATACTTTTACTTGAAATGAAGTATTTTTAACCTGTTATACTGTTTCTTTTTCTTCAGTAAAAAATCTGAATATTTCTTCACCAAGAGCTAAAGAGCTAAATACAGAAGTCCCTGCAGAGTCCTGTTGTTTTCAAGTCAAAGTATATCCATGCTGACAGCTACTGAAGGTTAAGGACACCTTTTGAGGAGCTAAACTTGGCAGCAATGACAGAGCTTTGTCAACATGTCTGAAAGCAAAGTTAAACCCCATGTTTGCATCAGTCAAAAACATTTCCCAGTATCATCTCCTTAAAAGGATGTCTCGTTTGGAGCGATATAAAACCTGCTGTTTAATATTATAAAACCCAAATGTGAAAATATTAATTTAAGTGATGGTGAAACTGCTAAACAAAGCTTTTATGGAAAATAGCTGTACAAAAACAAGAATAAAAGAGCATTAAAATAACTTATAAATACACAACATTCAGTCTAGATGCTTTAATTTTTACAGTCATGACGTCTGCTCTGTACGTGCTACGTCACAATCCTGCGTCAGTCTAGAATGTAAACACTCCCCGCTCGCGCTCCCTGCAGCAGCAGCTTCCTCAGTGAGAGTTTGCCGAGTTAGCTAACATGTTCCAGCGTGTAATATTTCACCAGCGAAAGGTTTCCATTTTAGGTTATTGCTGTTAATAATACGAGCAGATATCAGATGATGTTATAAAATCTTTTTTGGGGCTTTACAGGACCGCTTCACATTACTGTCCTGAAGCTAATCTTAGCTAGTTTTAGCTAGCTAGCGCAGTAAAGTAAAGTTTGCTTCCTTTGCTGAGGGATAGGACGCAACATTACGGTAGATTTATATTTTTATGTTAAAAAGTCACCGTGCTTTGTGCTGAAATGGTGCTTTCTTTGGTGAGGCTTTGTGCTAAGGAGGTGGTGAGTGACCACAGCTCGTCACCCTGCTGGCTGAGGTGGGTTCCCCGGGAGCTGTACAGACCGCTGCTGGAGGCCTCCTTCACCAGCTGTAGACCGCTGGCTGTGAACGAGCTGGTGCAGAGGTGGCCTGAACGCACCCTGCGTGTCGGCGGAAGGAGGAAACAGGGGCAAACTTCGCCAAATCGACTCTGCATCCAGGCTTTGCTACTTGCAGTAGTCAGAGGGCTGTCGGACCAAAGGTAGGAAGTAGCTTGTTAGTCTAGTTACAGTGTTTGGATCATGATCTGTAGCCTTTGGGTTACATTTAAAACCCATTCCGCTTTTCTAGGTGTGCGCTGCAACTTCTTGACCTCTGTGGGCTGCAAGGAGATGAAGGAGGGACGGGAGACCCCATGGGAGGCTGGTCTCTGACTGTAGCTCTGTGCACCATGGTGGTTCAGGCCAGAGCTGGAGCACAGAGGGCACAGAGGGAGAGGAAGAGGTTCTCAGCTCTGGAGAGAGAGAAGGATGTGAAAAGAGAGAGGGGACAGCGGAAGAAGGGAAAGGAAACAAATGTTGAGGGGAATGACAGAGAGAGCATGGGGTCATGTGGGACCCTGAGCGAAGAGGAGCTGGCTAAGGGTGTCAGGAGGAGGATGGAGGCAGAGAGGAAAACAGGGACTGTAGTGACAGGTGTGGGAGGCAGTAGAAAGGAGACAGATGAAAAAGAAGTAAATAGTGATGTGGTGGTGCATGTGAGAGCTGATCTTTTTGTAAACGCTCGATCCTGGGAGCGTGTACGTGGGGCTCTGAACACTCAGGGGCCCCTCAAGCTTCAGTGCAGATATCTACGTGTGGAAGAGATTTCAGTTTCTAGTATCAAGACTCTGCTAGGCCTCCTGCCTCCGCAGGGTCTTCTGGGCATTGATGTCCGCTACAGCAGCCTTGGGGTGGCTGGTTTGGCTGAGCTGCTCCCTCTGCTCTCCACCTTCCCTGCACTGAACTCTCTTCGCCTGCACTACTGTAACTTGGATTTTCGCAGAGACCACGCTGGCCAGGAAGAGACCCTGAGGGAGTTATGTCAGGGGCTGACACAGCTGCGAGAACTGAGGCGCCTCAGCCTCACTGCGCTGCGCCTGCCTGGACAACTGCGTGTGTTGCTTAGGTATGGCCTGATCCCCAATTACTCGCATGTTGTCCTGTGACTTTGTACCTAAACCTTGAGCTCAGTAAATAACACAGTATGACAGTGTCCTTTTTTTAAAGTTGAAATTAATCAGTCATAGTCCTAATCCTAACTTCTCAAATTGAAATTGCACTTTCCAAAAACTGGAGACCTATTTTAATCTTTTTGTTAAGACAAATCTGTCCAAACTAACAGTCATATTTAGAATGATGAGATTAAAAACAACACTATAAGACCTCTATAATGAATATTGGAATTGAATAATAAATATGATTTACATGTTCTGTCTGTGTTTTGTGTTCCAGCTCTCTGCCTCAGCCTCTAGAGATACTGGAGCTGCCCTATTTGAGCCTGAGCCCTGCCGACCTCGCCTATCTGTCCTGCAGTCATCATGCTTCCACACTGCAGCAGCTGGATCTAAGTGAGAACCGTCTGGATGAGAACACCCTGACCTCCATTCGCCGCCTCCTCTCCCAGGCTTCTACTAGCCTGCAGCACCTCTCCTTAAGTGGCTGTGGCCTGACTGATAGCCTGCTGAGACTCTTGCTGCCCTCGCTGGGAGGCTGCAGGGCCCTCAAGAGCTTGGCCTTGGCCCTGAACCCACTCTCCATTGCTGGCCTCATGGACCTGGTTAGGATGGCTGTGAGAATGCCCTCTCTCCGTCAGTTACTGTACCCCAACCCCCTTGAGGACTACCAGCCGGGCCTCCCTGACCTGCCCTCAAGTGCTCAGCTTTTAGACTGGCCGCTGGATGAAGCCACAGACATCAACATTACCAGCAGCCAGCTCAACAGGGTGCTGATAGACAGCGGGCGCTCTGACCTCTTTCTGACATGCGACCTGCTCAATTATGATAAAGACTTGGTGGACTAGGGCAGAAGTGAAGTGAAGGATACAGGTGCTTTTTAGTTCCTTACCAGCATACGCCCACACAATGTACATACACCTGACAATCAAAATGTCACCCTAATAACGGTCTAGTATTACATGATCTTTTTTATCTTTTTTTTTGACACCATCTGTCTCATGTGACGGTCTTATAAGCCAGAATTAACAGTGATGGTGGGGTTAGGGGGAAGTCAGTGGGCCTTTCCCATCTCTTGATTTTGTGCCTCCTTGTCTCCTCTGACTTGTGACCTGAAAAATTATCTCAGCACTCCATTTTGAAGTACGTGCCAGGTCCTAAAATGCATCTAGAAGAGCGAGGAGGCTTGCCGAAGGACGGCACGACTTTTTGGCGCCTGCAGTATGTATAAGGGACATGAAGCACAGCTGATGATGCAGCCGTGCCACATGTCATATTTAATTGGTGTGGCTTTAAAATAACGGCTTTGAATCACTGCCTCATTTTGTTACATGCCTTTTTCCTTTGACTCCTCTCTCCTTTTGTCTCTTCCTTGCCTCCTCTGCTTGCAACTCAGATGTAAGACTAAGATGCAAGGAGAGGAGGCGAGGAAATAATAGAGCATGCATGAATTGAGAAATGGGGAAGGCCTGTTGTATAGCCAAAGCAATAGGTTATTGTTGTTGTGAGGTAAGGTTTGCTCCTCTGGGGATGTTGGGAATGCAGTATTTATTATTTGTTGGCCAGACAAAAGGACACAGAGGTGACCACATACAAAAACCTTTACTCCTTATTATTAAGCCATGCTTCAGTAAAACGGAAGTATACTACTTTAAATCGTTAACTTGTTGACTGATTGAAATTAAATTCTTGCATATGCTGGTTTTGTACCAAACATGACTTAATGCTTTATAATCAGGTTAACAGGAAAGCTGGGATACAAAGATCCCTCTGGTTGGAGATTAGAGGCAGTCTGCCCTCGTGCCTTTACAACCATCACCAGTATTTTCTTTATACAAGCCATTCACTCAGAATCAGTGTTTGGACAGCTACTACATACTACGCTTCGACAACCAAAACTACAACTTTGACAGTGGTTTCTTTTTATAATGTAACAGGAAATGAATGTAACAACAAAATACTTAAATGCATACCAGTTATTTGATTGTTTTCCATACAGTAATGTACTTTGTCTTTGTGCTGATCTAATTTACATATTTGTCATATTGTATTTCTTGAGCGTTTGTTTTGAATTGTCCAGGACATTTCTTGTATTCACACAGCTTGTTTATCAAAAAGTATCACCGTCATCAGGAAACGCGTGTACCAAATCAACCTTGTACCACATGAATGCGTTTACATACTGTAAGTCACTGAATAAATCAGTCATAACACAAAGTTTAAAGAGTCATTTAATTGTCAAAAAGAACATATTTCAGACCAATGTTTATTATATGGCTACTCAGGTGTTAATGGCAGTGTTACAGACTAAGAGGCATCATCTGTAGTACTCTACGTACGACTGCTGCGGAATGAAGTAGCGGCGAGGTGAGACCTTCACCCAGTCCTCGTCTGAGTAGATGTGAAAGGGGAGAAGAGTGACCCGAGCAAACGGCAAAGAGATGAATTTGGGGCAGTGCATGAGGACGGGACGGTTTCTCAGTGGAGGCAGAATTAATCCTGTATGGTAAGATGCAGCAGATGTTATAAACCAGTTAATATCTATAATCAAGTGCTTAAGTACAGTGAAATCTCACCTGGTGGCCTCCATATTCTGGCCATGCTGTAAGTCTCTCCTTGATGAAGGATTGGTTGAGAACTACTGCACAAACAGACAGAATATATAAATACAGTGTTAGCCCACCTTTAAACTACCACATGTACCGTTTGACTTTACATACCAGTCACACAGCGGCAAAAGGACAGTGTCTCCGCAACCAGCAAGTGCAACACATCGGGCCTCTCTGTGCTCCTCTTTTTGGACAGAGCAGAAATAATTCAGCACGTCCACCATGCTGAAGGTTAATGGCTTCTTCTTTGCTGTACTGAGGCACAGATACCTGTTACTTTCCTGGTGGCGTGGAAAGAGAGAGGGAGAAAGCAGTTAATCACTTACAGTAGCAAGCCAAAACCTGCCATGACACCAGCAGCCATGCCGGTCAACAACACTGTGACATGCTCTCGTGCATTCCTTTTTGAGAGGAGTTAAGGTCACTGTAAGGGACATCAGAAGCAGTGAAGAGCTGATTAACGGAGGGAGAGCCTCTCAGTTTTCAAACACCTGTTCTGTGCTTTTGTCACACTCAAAAATATTTTGATGGATGGTGGTGATGACTGACAGATTCTTTTCAGATTCAAAACACGATCAAAGATAGAAATATTTAAGGGTAAGTTTGGTATTTTTCAACCTGAACTCTATTTTTCCATGTTTTTGACTAATGTGACTAATGGGAACAACAGCTTTTGAAATTTCTACAGTCCTGATTAAGAGTGCTGCAGCCGGCAGTAGCAAAACAGGCTGCAATGTAACCACTCAAGGCATGTTCACACTGTCAATTTACGTCCACTTGAAGTGCTTGTTTTTTTGCCATTGACAGGCTCATATTACTATGGTGTCTTACCCTACAGAGATAGACGTTTTTGTTTTAGAGTAAGATCCTTTTTGTTTAGCCAGAAACAGCCCTGAAATCGCAACTGCCAAACCCACCATTTTTACTAAGATAAAATTACTGTTTGTTTAAATGGAGTCTGGTGGGTTTGGTGATAGCGATTTTGGGGCTGTTTCTAGTTAAACAAAAAGGATCTTATTCTGTAAAGAAAATATCTATCTCTGTAGGGATCCTTTCCATAACGTGACACACATACAAAAATAATCTGAGTGTGTCAGTGGCAAAAAGAAGCACTTTAAAAGGATGTAAATTGACAGTGTAAACATACCCCAATGGTTACATTGCAGCCTGTTTCGCCGCTGCAGGATGCAGCCTTCATGCTCAATACTGGACCAGTTTTTAAAAATTGTTGTGCCCATTAATCACTTAGACACAGAAACATGGAAAATTGGGGTCCAGGTTGAAATAAACTTATTTAAAATTTAAATGAAATGTCTGACTTTGTATTTGTTGATCCATATCTGCAGCCAAGAATCTGCTCTGTCATGGAGGCTCTTCCAGATGTTAGACTGGTCCTGCAGCTCCGAGTCCCAGCTCTCCAACTCTGGCCACAACCACTGCTCAGCCTCATTTACACCTAATGCAGTAAGTATGCGCAGCACTATTTCTCTATTGACAGGATAACAGGATAATATAAACTCTAAGTCAGTTCAGAAAGTTTAAATTACACATAAAATTACAGTTTCATAGATTAAACCTGCAAAAACTGTTTGCCACTGAGGAAGCTGTTTTCACAATATCATTTTCAAACATTCATACATACATAAATGTATCAATTATATCTCTTTTAAATATAAATGTTGAGATGTTCGAATTCTGATTGTTATTCTAACACTGATGGACCCACCGCAGACCCAGTTTTTTAAGAGCCAGAAGAGTGAGCAGCTTTTTCACAAAGTCACAGCTGACAGATTTGAGATGCATCAACAGATTCAACATTTCACCAAGCGCAGCCCGTTCCTCAGATGACTGAAACAAACAAAAGAAAAACAATCAGACACATGTACTTAAAATGCACAGTGACAATCTTGACACGCAGACATACAGTACCATGTGAGGTCGTGCAAATTTGGGCACCAGGTCAATGAGGTCTTGGTAAAGCCTGTCTGTATTGTGTAAGAGTCCCTGGCTGTGCAGTGCCTGCAGTGCAGCCAGGATCTTCAGCTTAAATGGAGTGCTGCAGGTGTTTAGACGGCCCAGCAGCTGCAGGGAGAAATCCCCAGGTGACAGGGTGCTGGGGATACACTGCACACATACATAGACTCATGAAGATTTCAGTGTTTACTACTGTGCATGATAGAATTGCATAGTTAATGGCAGATATAAATGCTAAGTGTAAGTTACCTTTTTATCGGGATACAGATCTTTAAACCAATCAGCATCCGCAAACTGTTTGAGGAATGTTGGCACTGTAGGGGTGGGTTCCCGTGGTGTTAGGGTTGTTGGATGGTGAGGACGTGGAGTAGGAGTTATGGGTTTGGGTTGCTCTGTTGGAGAAATGATCTCTGGAGGCTGCAGGGGTAGGTGCAGATATAAAAACAGACGCACACACAAATGAGAACTGCTACTTTATGCGTTCATTTTTCCTTTGTGAAATTAAGGAATACATGCTCTTACCTCTTCATACTTCACTCTGATGGGTTTTTTGGGTGTCAGTCTGTCAACAGGCTGTGGCTTGATTTTCATTAGGGTCTTTGGCTTAGAGATTGTTGCTGGAGCTTTTTTCTCCTGCAGTTAGAGAAACATCAAAACTCTGCTCATGTTCTGCTTATTGTACATCTGTATTTTCTGTCAATTATCATAAACTAAAATTGAGAAGCTCTAATTAAACTGAATTCTACGTTAAATTTCTGCAACCAAAGTTGAGAAAGACTAAGAATAAGGTTTTGTTTATCATGCTTACAGTTCTTACCTTCTTTCTCTCCACATTCACAGGAATCTTTATAGGCTCAGGACAGACATCCTCCATTAAGGTTGGAAGATTATGAGGCTTGTCATCATTTGGTTCAGGATAAACTGTGTTTATCTCAAGTTTATCTGGGTCAAAGGTGTCCTCCAAATCAATCTGAAAACACGTTATTATCCTTTCAGTTATATATTTATCTCTGAAGAATGAAAATGTGCAAAAGATGCAAATAAAAATGTTCCAAAAAAATTCCAAAAGCTGAGGCAATAATATGATATTTGCTCCATGCAGATGCTACTTAAGGAAATATGGTGATTTTGAGACAAAAAAACTTGTAGATTAATATTGTGTTTCACATGCATGTCCATAAATTAGTGTCCTATTTAACCTTTAAAATACACATTTTTCATCTTACCTTTAAGTGCTATGAGTCTAGACTGTTTGGGTGTCAACTGCGGAGTGTTGGAGATATCAGCCGTAGAGATGTCTGCCTTCTCTCAAATATAATGAACCTAGATGGCACTCAGCTTGTGGCGCTCAAAGCACGTTGGACACTTTAAGCACCCAAGCTGAGTGCCATCTAGTTCCTTTATATTAGAGAGAAGGCAGGCATCTCTACAGTCAATATCTCCAAAACTAAACAACTCACACCAAAACAATTTGGACTGATAAACAGCACTGCAGGTAAGAGGAAAATGTGTATGTTTGATTTACTTTTTGATTTGGGGGGTGAACTGTCCATTTAAGCTGATGCGCACAAGCTACTTTCAGTGTATTAAAGGACAGGTGAAAAGTCTGTGTATTCTTGACAGTATCAACAGGAAGCAGGTAAAGTTAGTGGGGGAAGGAAGATGAAGAAACCTTAATATTGTGGGGCAACCCATATATTATCTTCATGTAGCGATCAAAAGCGTCTTTCCTGATTTCCTTTGTAGAGAAAGGCTTCCCTTTTTTGCATCGGAGTGCACCTAGGTCCATGTTTGGAGTCACTGAGCTCTCATACTCCTAGAGCAACACAGATAGAAAAGATATTCTAGGTATTTGTACAGTTTTCATTGCGCCATTAAGATGCATTGTCTTTAAATCTTCCAGTTCACACACCTTGTATCTCCACATGTCTTGGGTCAGTAATAAATTGCTGGTGACTGCTGACAGCTCCTTTTCCTTGTATTTTTTTGTGCTTGCATTCCTGTTTTCACCAATATTGCTCATGGTTTATTAGGTTTTGGATTATTTTTGATATGTAGTATGAATAAACCTTACTTTCTTTTGCTGCACTTTTCTTTATTCTCAACAGTGTGGATGTCAGGAAGGGGCTCGGAACAATAAGTGTAAAGGCGCTGTCAAGATAAAAGGAGATTAAATGGGTTTATAGTTTGCAGCTTTGGTTAAAAATGTCTCCCACACATTGATCAGCAACACTGTAAGCTGACTAGTTACCATTTGTTGATAGTTGTGTGGCAGGAAGTCTGCACAGTTCATCTTGTACAGATCCCCTTTGATGCCAAGAAACAATTCCCCTCCACACCTACTGTAAGCCAGACACTCAGGCACTGCATTTAGCTGCAGTGTCCTGCAAGGGTCACATGTACATAAATATACATTCATTATTGAATTACTGTACACTTCACATTTGTAATCCAAAAGATCAGTGGCAGGTAATGAGCTCCAACCTGATGAGGTGATTCTCCTTGCTCCACATACACACTGTCCCATCTAGACTGCTGGAGACAAAGACCTCCAGATCAGGACATACACACAATCCTGCAAGAGCAAACAACCTGTCACTCACACAAAGACAATCAATTCATTTATCAATTCAATTTTTTTTACTGTTTTTTTGTGACCTGTGAAGTGGTCTGCATGTCCTCCCTTGGTTAGGTGATCAGTCTGGCTCTGGTTGAGTAGGTTAAAGTGTATCAGATTGTAGGGGTCACTGCTGGGTTCTTGAAAGGTCAGAGCCAGCTGGAGCCCCAGCGCTGCCAGGCAGACTTGAGGCTGGCCACAGTGCAGGCTCAGCTGTTGGCTGAGACACTCCTGGAAATGCGGGTTTACTCTCCACACTACCACTGTCATGTCCTCACCTTTGGAATTGGGGTAAAGTTGTTACGTCAGCCATCACTGACAAGCATACAAAGGAAGTAAAGTTACATTGGGAAATACCTGCAGATAGGAGGTAACTGTTCTCAGGATACACCTGCATTGTGGTGACTTTCTGGCCATTGTGTGCTGGCACCCTGTGCAAGACCTTCCCATTATCAATTTCCAGAACACTCACACAGCCTCCACTTTGGCCAAGAATGATCAAAAACCTGTCAAGTACAATTACATTTGCTGAAATAGAGATTGCCACATGGCATATTTACATAAGTAATATTTAAAGAGGTGCTATGACCATTCACACGTTATTCCCAACTTTTTAAACAGTTAAAAATTTGGTAAACATGAACAACTCTCTCCCAAATCCAAAAATCTAGAGTGCTAAAACTCAAATTTGTGATGTCATTAACTATAAAGTCTGTAACTGCTCTATTAAGAAAGGATTGGGAAAGGTGATATACAGTGCCCTCCAAAAGTATTGGAACAGTGAGGCCAATTCCTTTATTTTTGTTGTAGACTGAAAATATTTGGGTTTGACATCAAAAGATGAATATGGGACAAGAGATCAACATTTCAGCTTTTATTTCCAGGTATTTACATCTGGATCTGATACACAACTTAGAAGATAGCACCTTTTGTTTGAACCCACCCATTTTTCATGAGAGCAAAAGTATTGGAACATGTGACTGACAGGTGTGTTTTGTTGCCCAGGTGTCTCCCAATTACATTGATTATTCAAACAATAAATAGCACTGAATGTCTGAGCTCAGTTTCAGATTGTGTACGATAGGTTTTGCCTGTGCAGACTGCATTTAGAGGTGGAACCAACATGAAAACCAGAGAGCTGTCTATGGGTGAAAAAGAAGCAATTGTGAATCTGAGAGAAGATGGACAATCAATCAGAGCCATTGCACAAACATTGGCCATAGCCAGTACAACCATTTGGAATGTCCTGAAGAAGAAAAAAACCACTGGTGTACTAAGCAACAGACGTCGAACAGGTAGACCAAGGAAAACATCAGCAGTTGATGACAGAAACATTGTGAGAGCTGTAAAGAAAGACCCTAAAACAACTGTTAGTGACATCAGCAACAACCTCCAGAGGGCAGGAGTGAAGGTATCACAATCTACTGTTTGCAGAAGACTTCATGAACAAAAGTACAGAGGCTACACCAGAAGATGCAAACCACTCATTAGCAAGAAGAATAGGAAGGCCAGGCTGGAATTTGCCAAAAGGTACAGAGATGAGCCTCAAAAATTCTGGGAAAAAGTTTTATGGACTGATGAGACAAAGATTAACTTTTTCCAAAGTGATGGAAAGGCGAAAGTTTGGAGAAAGAAAGGATCTGCTCATGATCCCAAACATACAAGTTCATCTGTGAAACACGGTGGAGGGAATGTCATGGCTTGGGCTTGCATGGCTTCTTCTGGGACAGGAACATTTTGTCTGCTAATTTAAAGAAAGATGCAGCCAAACTGATTGGGAGATCCTTCATCATGCAGCAAGATAATGACCCAAAACACACTGCCAAAACAACAAAGGAGTTCATCAGGGGCAAGAAGTGGAAAGTTTTAGACTGGCCAAGTCAGTCTCCAGACTTAAACCCAATAGAGCATGCATTTTACCTGCTGAAGAGGAGACTGAAGGGAGTAACCCCCCAAAACAAACAACAACTGAAAGAGACTGCGGTGAAAGCCTGGAAAAGCATCACAAAAGAAGAATGCAAAAGTTTGGTGATGTCAATGGGTCACAGGCTTGATGCAGTTATTGAAATATTAAGTCTCATTGACTTTAATCTATTTTAAGTTTATATGTTCCAATACTTTTGCTCACCTAAAAATTTTGTGTTCCATTACAAATAATGCTATCTTCTAAGTTGTGTATCAGATCCAGATGTAAATACCTGGAAATAAAAGCTGAAATGTTGATCTCTTGTCTCATATTCATCTTTTGATGTCAAACCCAAATGTTTTCAGTCTACAACAAAAGTAAACGAATTGGACTCACTGTTCCAATACTTTTGGAGGGCACTGTAGATGACAGTGAGAGCACCCAAGGGAATGTTCTGAGTACATTTTCTGTTTCAGAACTGAGAACACTACAATAGAATAAAGCATATTTGGGTACAGACCAAATCACAATGTTTGTTTACAATAACTTCCGGGGAGAAACCCCCCAGGCCTCGTACATAAGATGAAATGGTACTGAGCAAACGCTGCCTCAATTGCTTCATTTTCAACCATCTAAAAAAAGGCCCACTTAAAAAATTTGATATCAGTTTAAGCATACTGTATATTTAGTATATTTTTGGTGATCTACCTTGCCATCAGACAGCTTTTTCCAAAAGGGAACTGTTTAATTAAAGTTATTGCTTTAACATATTATTGTATCTTACTGAATTGTATAACTTTATGATCTATGGATATGTTGTTGCTTGTTTTTTTAACTGTGTAATGTACGGTGTCCTTTAGTGCTTTGAAAGGTGCCTGTACATAAATTGCATTATTATCATTATTATTATTAAGTTGCTGTTGTTAGCACCACATCATAATGATTTGATCCATAAAAAATAAAACAAACATTCTGTGGGTCCATAATACAGGCTCCCATACATTGTCCGTGGAGCAGCTCCAGACTTCGTACCAGTTGACATCATAAGTTTGAGACACTTCTCTGGTTTATGGCTTTGAGAGAGAATATCTCATGTTTACAAAAATTGATTCACCTGTCCTAGGCCATGGAAAAAACATTGGAATTCTTAATTTAGGTTCCCATTTAGTTCCCCTTTAAAAGAAAACAAAAACACTCACTTATTCTTGTCATCATCAAGGGCTGTCTCGTCCCTCTGACTGTATCCTCTTGCCTCCTGCAAACTTCTCCACTCCTCTATAGATGCCTGTGTTTCAGCCACATTACTGTAGAGTATCAGACAGCAAGCTGGGCCAGGGATCGGCAGATGCTGGGCCTTATTCTCAGTCACATGTTCCCCATGTTGCCAGGGCCCCTGGCCTCTCCCCTTCCACTCTTGCATCAAAGAGATTGGATTAGTGAGTGTGTTGGCTTGGAGCAGTGTACCTGTGTCAGTCAGAGCCAGCAGAAGCTCTTTTTGCAGGCAGTACTCGGCACACAAAATCCTCTGCTTTGCCTTGAAGGAAGTCAACACTGCTCCTGTCTCTGCAGCCAAAAGCGTGATATCACTGTCCCTGCTCACACAGAGGAGTCGTGCAGGGTAAGGAGCAGGGAAGGGGGAAGCTAGGATTTGTCTCAGTGGGGCTCCTTCATCCTCTCTAAGTTTACAGTGGAGGGTGTACAAGGTTCTGATGGTCCACATGTCAACTCCCTGGTGAGAGGAGGAGAAAATATCTCCTGTTTTAGTGCCTCCAATGCACAAGAGAGGGTTTTCCTGCTCTGTGTGGACACATGTGACCATGTCACCCTTTTCCACGTTCCAGCAACAGATCGTACAATCCACAGAGGCTGATAACAGCATGTTTAACGCAGACGAGTAAAACAAAGAGTTCACCACACCTGGACACAAATAAAACAGGTAATTTCAGCATTTTGTCTCATCATAAAGAGGCACAAAAAGAACATGGATAGACGTTATGACTTACCAGTGTGTCCTACAAAAGTCGCACGAAGTTCCCAATCTGGACCCCATATTCTAATGGAGAGCTCCTCACATGCAGTGATCAAACAGCCCAGTTGAGAGCAGTACGTAATTGCAGTGATATCTCTGTAAAACATAACTTGTTAATCTTCATGCTAATCACTCCCAGTCTGATTCACATCACATGCACCCATACACACCGTGAGCAGAGATCCCTCTTGTGCTCCAAAACTTTCCTATCATCAAGGTCAACCACCGTCACAACCCGCCTGCACACAACGAAGGCTCTGTGGGGCTTGTCAGATCGCGGGGGAGCCAATGCCATTTGAGTGAAAGTGCTGTGTTGCAGCTCCTCCTGTATCTTCACCATACACCTCATGAGCATCACTGACCACACACACACATTGCCAAAACCTGCAGTCACCACCTCTGCGGAGTGCTCTGCAGCCTGACACACACGTATGTCCAGGGCATCATGAGCAGCATCCAGGGGGCGTAAGTCATGGTCCAGCAGTGTGAAGACAGGCCCTGGGCCCCAACCCACCACATAGCCAGGGATCTTTGTGTCGGTCAGGCCCATGAAAGGGAGGTGTGCTGAGGTCGTCTGCTTGTGGCCATCAGCTTTGTAAAGGCAAACTGTGTTGTCTGAATGGAGGCTAATAAATGCTGCTGCAGCCTCAGAATACATCATGAACTGTACAGGGCTGTCACAGGAGAAATGATGTAGGCGATGGAGACCATGAGTGAACACGTGCTGCTTGCTCTCAGAGTGGTTTACCTAGACAGTCAGACAAAGAGAAAGCATATGAGATGATGTCTGTAAGTGCACAAAGCCAGTATGCATCACGCTGACATGGTCTACCTTGCCCGTATCTTGCTTCACATCCTGCTTGAATAAACTCTGCTTCCCAAGCGTCCTCCCATTTGATGTCCCATTCCCCTGAGACAAAAGCCTCCGGGTAGGATTGGGGAAGAGCACTGTTGTTGTCCTCGTCTCCTCTCCTACGGCCACCATCTCTGCCACTTTTTACACAGGACTCTGCTGAATCCACTGACCTTTTGCACTTTTGCATCAAAATTCTGTTTTAACTGGTGGCTATGGGACATTTACTTGGCAGGGCACTCTAGGAAAACACAAACACAACCACATTTTATATGAATGCTCAGTGCTGTTCAAATATTATTTTCTTGTTTGCTTTAAAAATGGAAGTTTAACAAAATGTAAAATGCTACAGTACAATTACACAAATCACATTAGTACCTGGCAAACCATCTGCAATTACTGCTTTTTTTGGAGTCACCTTTACACTCAGTGGCATCTTTCGACCTGAACATCTGAGGCTTAAGCCCTGAATGTTTTATTAATAGCCTCCAATCCAGATATATAGGCCAGTGGTTCCCAGTTGGTGTGTCGCTGTCCAAAAGTGGGTTGCGGCCCATTCTGAAAGGACCACAAGTGACTTGTGAACAAGTCACGTTTGTAAAAAACACACTTTATTTGAAGTACAGTGAATTTATGGCACAGACACTTTATTTTAAAGTGTCATTTCCGAGTGAGTGACAGAGCGGACAAATATGATGCTGAATTACACTGTGTGGACCTTGTACTAATGACTAAGGAAGAATCTGGACCCCGTGGCTGGACCAGTTGGGAACCACTGGTAGGCTAATTATTAAAACAAAACAAAACAAACAAACAAACAAACAAACAAAAAAACGAATAGGCCTAATAATAATTTAAAAAAGCCCTAGATCTAATAACATGTCATTCCATTCATACTTGTGCTTGAATAAATGTACTTAGTTACATTCCCACATTGTCAGCATAAATACATACATTTAGATATTTTTCCAACTCAAGTCAATTCATTTTTAATGACAGCATTTGTAAAGTATTCTGTACTCAATACTATTTACAACTACTTTTCTCATCACCATTTATAATTTAATTTAAATCTAGAAAGTTAAAAAAGAGAAGTTTTAGGGGTAAATAAGGTGCCTGAGTCAGTGTCAGAAATTAGCAAGGGCCACGGGCCATTTGGCCCGCAATTTATCCAAGAATGCCCCCAAAAGCCATGTTCCGGGGACCAAAATTGCCCCCAAGTTTTCGAAACAACTATATGTATTTATATTTTTAACAGTATTACAATCTGACATTAAAGTATAATTTTATTTTCATTAAATTAATTTACCGTCACGTCTACAACTCATTTTCCTGACATAATCAACGAGATTGCACTGATTACGTGAGAGTAATCTGACAGAGAAGGGGAGGGGGCTTTGCTGTACCATAAGTTTAAATTAACCATTTCTTGGGTGATCTGTGTCTACACAATGACAAATTAATGAAAAATTAAGGTAGAATGAATGTTAAATTTTAAATTAACTTACTTCCAGGATTGCATCTAAGGAATTTATAGTAATTTGGCCTTTTTAACAGCAAAAGTAACTGTAATGTGGTGAAACATTAGTACTGCTATCAGTAGATTAATGGTTAAAGAAATCACATTTAAACTGGTTGAATTATAGGAAATCTGAGTGATATTTTGCAACCATAACTTTATGTAACCCATTATTTATTTCATTTATAGTGGTTTCTACTGAAGAGTGAAGACACTATCTTAGTTGGTTTTGCTTTTCATGTGCTTATTGTTAGAACATAATTACAATTTTTTGATGGCCCCCACACATTTTGAAAATGCCCCCATTTTTTAGACCGTGGGGGCCAAAATTGCCCCCAAAATATTTTGTTAATTTCATACCCTGGCCTGAGTGCATAAAAAGCATAGAGCTTGTTTTATTTTATTAAAAAATGAAATAAGAAATTAACAAAATAAAAAATCCTGGGGAAGGATCCCCTTGGACCCTCCTACCAAGGTCCAGGCTAATCCCCCAATGTCCTCAAATCCTAGAAAAGCCCCTGCTTACACTGGTTAAAATAACAAATTTAAAGACTCCATAGCTGTTGTAACATTTTTCCTGGTTGTAGTCATCCCATCACCCATGGACTGGACATATTTTCATTGTTAAACTGGAAAAAGAAAAGTTGTACACTTTAGGGGTCATCTGCCAGTTCTAGGAAACTATGGGAGCAATCTTTTTCCTATTTTCTTTAATATGTTTATGTTCTGTTTAAATAAACGAACATGTCACTTCCTGTCTATTATCTCTTTGGAAATTCAATAATGAAAGTTTTGGGAAAACAAATATTATGCTATTTTGTTATACAGACAGAGAAATATTAGGCTAATTATTTAAAAGTGGAAAGAAAACCGATCAAACAAGAATAACTCATCTTTAAGGTAACTACTTTTTGAGCTAACGGTTAACTTTGATAGTTGTGAGGCAGGAAGTTAAAGATTTATAGCGTTAAGTATCAGCCTAAAGGTTTATAGGCCTAAACTTAGAAAAACTTTGTGTTTACCTTCACCAACTGGTACTTCTGTTGTCCAGATGCAGCGACAAGTCTTTACTCTACTTAATATAAAGTTAATTTAGCTAATAACGTTAACAAAGCGAACATAGCTGTACTTTAAGTTTGCTCTCTCGGCCACCAGCCTCCAATGGCTACGTGTCTGTTGCTAGGCAACGGGTTGCTCGGCTACATCCATGGCTGCAGGTCGCACAACTGTAACTTCAAGCAACAAAATGGTTTCTCAGAAAATGTTAGTGGTCAGTTTCTCCTCTTTTCTAAATAAAATGAACTTGACTTTGACTGGTTTTAGGCCAATAAATAAACAAGGATTCGATATTTCACTATCAGAAGAGCACGTTGACGTGAAAAATCTGTATCCAGTGAAAAACGTGTCTCAAAATGTGGGTATTTGTTTTTCTGATTAAATACAGTGCTCCTTTACAAATAATTATCCAAAAAACGTATTAGATTATTCATATTTAAGCTGAAAGCAGGGCTGTTTTCCTTAACTCATCAAAAGCCATTTTGAAGAGTTCTTTTTTTTTTTTTTTTACAGAACAAAGACCTTCATGTTAGGAAATAAAATTTAGAAACAGTATAATTGAAACATTAATTGAACAAATCTTTTACAATAATTAAAATATCAACATTAAATTTCTAAAATCTTGGCTATTACCCTCGTTAAACATATTATACTTAAACTGAGGAGGTGCTTTTAAAAATTGAGTTACACAAAAACAAAAAGTCTCATAGCATTAAATAACACAATTACAGATATAGTCAGTTTATTGTATAAAATTAAACATGTTAATACAGTACAAATATTTTTTAATATCAAATAGTATAAATATTTAAATCAACAAAGATTTACATCATATATTTCTAACCATGTATTTATGGAAGATATTAAAATATTGTGGCCCCTGTAGAGGATCTTTGGTATTCAGCCACATCCTTCTCATATTAATATATGTATTTTTTTAACCATGTATCATTAATTTAAAAGGAAAAACTTAACACACACATCAAATTTAAATATTACATACACTCAACCAAGTGACTGCAACATAAACAGATTTATATATTGGTCTTCCAGGCTTTAAAAATGCAGCCATACAGGATGCAGTGTTTCACAAAGCTTCAGTCATCATACTCTCCAGCTTCTCCTCTTCTGTGGTAACGGGCACAGTCAAATGTCTTGTGAAATACTGCATTTCTATTTTTCCTGACTCGTGTGCCAGTGCTATTCCTGAATATGTGTTCTGTTGTCCTGAGTCTCCAAACACAGCCATGGCTGTCACCCTGAGGAGAGAGCAGAAAATGACCACCACACATCAATATGACAAATATAAAATCCCTCAGTGAAATCATCCCTCATGTCTGTCCGGTGTTACCTGTCAGAGTCCATCCTCTCGGTGACCGCAGGCTCTGTGTCACTTTTCAGCAGGTCCCATATGTGGAGGTTAGAGGCTGCATCGAGCACACAGAAGACTGCTGGTCTGGTTTGGGCCCACTGCAGTGAGACCACTGGTTCACCAGCTGTACTGTTGTTCCACTCTGCAACAGGCTGCTCATGGCTGACTGTGTGCAGCCTGATGGTGCCGTCACCACAACCCACCTGGAATCCGGGCAGGGAAAAATTATATAGGACATCATAGTTTTAACTTATCTTTAATATTTATGGTACTTTGTCTCATAAAATGTGTTATTATCTATATGTTGAATTTTGTCCTGCACTATGAGTATATGTTTACCGTTCTGGGCATTTGCTGTAATGGCAATAATGTTAACTTAAACAATTAAAATCTATGGATTGGATCATAATCAAAGCATCCTGAAAAATACTTTCATAGACAGCATTAAATCCCCAAAGGCCACTGTTGTGTAGCCACTGCTTCTTCTGTACTATTTCTATGGTGGCAACAAAAAACAAACCACCAATATTTGAAAAGATTAAATTTGACCATGGCTTAAATAATTCAGTTCCCACAAACTAGAATCTTAGGAGTGCACCTTGATGTGCACTTTATGTTGTCTGAGCAGCTGCAGAGTGCACATAATATCCATATTTTTCACGTACTTGTAAATCTGAGATTTTATGAGGAAATATATGTCTAATTTTGAGAAAATGTTCCAATAACTCTCAACAACTTTAATCCACACAGTCAGGGGGCAGTCTCCAACTTTTATCACACTTACAAAGACATACTGATGTCAATACAAGGGGCAGACAATGAGAACTGGGAGGAGAGTCTCGAAAGTGTGCTTAAATGTTCAAATAAGTCTAGACACAGTCTGATACAACAGTGCATTGGCTGTATTACTCCACAGACAGACTGCGTAAGATTTTCCCTGAGGTATCCCCCCCTGTAACAGGTGCAAAGAAGCAGATGGGACATAACACATTCTCTTTGGACATGTTGGAAATTGTTTACTTACTGGAAGAGTGTTTTTGAATGTCTCTCTAAAGCCTTTAAGAAGAACGGGTAAACTAATCCACTTGTCACTGTCCTAGGTGCCATGTAGTGGGTGTGTTATCAATGGCAAACAAGTATTAAACTCAGGGCATTTTATTTGGTTTGGTTGTGGCAAGGAAACTACTTATGCGGAAATGTGAATAACAGAGCTGATCAATGTATAGAGTACCTTCAGGGTAATGGATTGTAATGGACTGACAGGGTATACCCTTTATCCCTGTGTATATGTATTTTATTTTATTTTATAATGTTGAAGTTTTGTGTAATACTAATGTTTTTTCCTCTGTATTTGTGAAGATTGTTGGGGCTGAGTTGTTTAAGTGATGTACTGCGTGTTTGTCTTATAACAAAAATCCTAAAATAAAGGTTTAAAAAACAACAACACAATAAAAGTTCTTTCAATGTCAAAAATGGCACTCTCACCAGGAACAACTGTTGCCTGAAGGGAGAAAACTGGACTGAGATGACATCAACAGGTCGAACTCCGGGCTCCTGAAACCTGTAAAACTTTGGAGGAGCCTTCAAACCATGACTTGTTTCATGATTGACCAGACCCTGGACAGAAATTACATTAAAACACTGTCAAAAAATGACACAAAACAACTGTAATGCTCACCAGACAAGACAATACTCACCATGCTGGTGCCGATAAAGAAATGATTGGAGTCTGATGGGAGGAATTTTAAATGAAGAGTTTGGAACGGCCCTGTTTTCGCTGCATCTCTTGGTGACACCCTGAGAACCAGACAGACCAACAGAGGAGAAAAAAGCCAAACCAGAGGTCAAAGGTTACCACATTCCCAACCAAAAACAAACTGAACAACAGTTGAACACGACACATTCACACTGCACACATATGACCGTGTATATGTTCCCATCAAATGTTGAGGTGACAACAACAGCAGCCCCGCAGCACGTAACAAACAAGATCGTATGACGGCGACAGAGCAGCTGTGTTCCGCTGGGCAACGACATTGTGGGGTATTTTGAGCCCGGTTGTCGGCAGTGACGGATGATCATCACAAGCTATTTATCAGTCTCACCTCTCAGTGGTAAGGAGGTGGGAGCTGTGGAGTAACTTTACTTTGCCCCCAGGCCGGAGCCCTGCACGAGAGAACAAGAGACAGAGGGACAGAGAGGCTGAAGCTGGTGCCACATGTGTGAGAAAGATGAGTATGTTTGTGGAAAAATGAGGGAGTGCTTTAAAACGTGACTGCCTTACCTAGATCTGTAGGAGAGCCTGCCTCATTGGCTTTTGGGAGCTCCACTACCACCTAAAGGACACAGAGAGGAAATCATGCAAGTACTGTCCCTTGTGGCATAATTTTGCTGTTTGTGTAGAGCAGGAGTTCTAACAAGCACCGTGTCCACAGGTTTTCACCACAGTAGCTACATATGAGTGGACAGAGAAGAGTGCCATTCTGAGTCTGCTACAGACAAAAAAGTTATTATTGGATTTAATTAGTTATTTGTTCTTTCATTTAGGCTATAATAATGCTTAAAGTTTTGGAACGACAATTCTTATAATTTTGGGGGATGTGAACAGGAAGGATAATTTTGCCATGGAGTCCAGGCCTTCAGGAAGGGTGCCAGACTTTGAAGCCAATTTCACAACTTCTGGGTCCATCATGTGATGCCACTAGGCCCACAAAGACTTCTCCCATAGTCTTTCATTGGGAAAAAAAATCATCTGTAAGAACATCACAACCCCCACAAAATGACTCTTTTCACTGTCAGAATGTGATCCATTCGGTCTGATAACATTTCGAAAGTCTAGAAGAGCCACATGATTAAATAATTTTACCTCCATTCAAGTAAGTGGAGCACTAAAGCGGTAGTTAGCCGCTTGGACGGCAAAGTCGCTCATGCTTGAGCACTATGGGCTCCATGATGCAGAAAATGCAGTTAATTTTTAAACTTGGTAAGTTGAACTTTTTTGGCTTCATCAAGGCTCCTAAGAAGTGAGCCAGGCTTTGAAGCCAATTTTTGTGGAGGCCACAGAGAATAATTATACTGCCACATGATGCCATTGGGCGCAAAAAGACGTTTCCCATTGACTTACATTGTGAAATTGGCATCTGTAAATCAGTAAATAGGTTTTTTTGAGTATCACAACCCCTGAGAAATTACTTGTTTGACTATCTGGGTTTGATCCATTTGGTCCGATAACATTTTCAAAGTTTTGTAGATTCACATGATTAAATCATTTCAGTCCCATTTAAGTTATTAAAGGGTTAAACCAAAAGATAGGTGCTCGGCTGCCAATGTCTTGACTGCGCCTGCTCTATGGATAGATGGATAGATAGATAGATAGATAGATAGACATACTGCTTCACCCACCTGATGTTTGTAGGTGTATGTGAGTTATCACATACACCTACAAACTGTCAACGATCACATCTTAAATTATTTTTTTTGTTTTAGTAATTTAAACAAATAAAAGAAATATCATAAAAGAACAACACTGTCTTAATTTGTGCAAGTTCCCTTATCTGGGATTATTTACTAGCTTGCCATTTCTTCATAGCCTGCTTAATATTTCTCCCTGCTTAAATGAGCTTCAGAGATACTGACAGTTTATTCCATTCATCTGCAGCCATGTATGAAAGAGTATTTTTGTCAATTGAAGTCTGGAATTTTAAAAGGATTAGATCTGTGGAGCTTCCTCTTGCTGAAGAACTGTTACTGTCTCTGAGGTGATTAAGTATTGAGACAGATATTTTAGGGACCTCATTATGAACAATTAAAAGTCTGAAAAATTATCTATTAGCAGTTTCTCTTTGCAGTGCACTCAGTGGTGTACACAACTATCAATGGATATTTTTGATAATGAAGAAAACTTAAAAATGTGATGATTCTCAAGTTATGAAGATCCGGACCATTTCTCTCCTATGATTTCTAAGCTGGTTTATGGTCATTTATTCGCCACAAATAAGACAATAAATCAGAGATAATAATATCCTCTGGAAGTCTGAGTCATGCTGAATGTAAAAATTTGCATATGGTGTCTGACAGTGTCATGACTCCAAGAAGAAGTGCGATTTTTGACGCTGCAATCAGGCAGTAAGGGTTTTAAAGTACCTTGATTGCCTCCATTGCTGCTGCTGCAACTGCTGACCCTGTTGATAAGTGAGCCAAATCAGCAGGCAAAACTTTAATAACTGTTTGTTGTTTTTAATACCAGCATGCACCTGGCCCTTTCACCTCACCAGTATTTTTGCCTCATGTCTCTCCCTCAGTGCCCCCACCCCATTTAACGCACCCCTCGCAGTTTGAGAACCGCTGGTGCAGAGTGAAAACATGTAGGATCTTCTTTGTTGCCCAACTTACCCAGAAATTTAAAATCCCGGTATCATCGAGAGAAGCCAGCTGGAACGACAATCCCAACGACTCTGCATTACGAAAAAGAATAACACTTAAATACTGTGAATGGCCAAAACACGTGGCATATTTATGAAACGATACACACGATCATCAATCAATGTGTTAACCATTCCTAGACCATTCCACACCTTCCTCAGATGCCAAGAGAGGGACCTCTGGCCTCAGCCCCCCTGCTGCAGCTGAGGGGACAACTTCCACAGACGTCACAGATGAGAAATGGCATGAGCCGGCCATCACTGAGTCTGAGTTGACAGGGTGACAACAGAGAGGGTATCTGCACACACTGAATCAACACCACTGTTATGTAAGAAAACAGCCTCTGAACTTTAAGTGAGAGAAAGGGCAGAGGCCGTCCTGAGTCACCGTATACAGTAAAGGATGTTTACCACTTATTGCCTGCTGACACTCATTTACCTGCAGTGTGAAGAGTGAAGTACACAACAACAAAGATGAACGAGTGAAAAATCAAGGGGCTTTATATTCTTAAAATGAAGGCAGACAAAAAAAACCTCAGTTAACACACGCCTGGTGTACGGTTACGGAAATTAGCATCATCAATGACATGCTATGTTTACAGGCTTGAAAGGCAATAATTTAGGTTTCCTCAAAAACACCTTAGAAGGTAAAAATTTGATTTACAGTGGGCTTAAATATTTTTTCTTGTATTTTTTTTTGTAATTTCCTGAAGATCTGAATCTCTTTTTTTTAAGAGTCCTTTGTACAAAATTAACATACACTGTTGAAACATAGACGGATGGACTTAATAAATATTTACACTTAGAAAGGCAATTACAAGTGTGATTTTTTTTGCATGGTATGTGGTTTTAAACTTCAAAACTGACTCAGAAATACCCATTGCTATTGTTCCAGACCTCTAACTTTGTGTAAAAGTCATAAGTGGACCATAAATTAATTAGTTATTTTTTTCAATGATTAATCTATCCATTCATCCATCATTTTTTTGCTGTTTATCCAGGAAATATTGTTATATACTGCTGGTAAGTACTGACAAAAATGTGATATAAATATTTAAAAAATCATGCACTTGTTAAGAATTCTAGGCCTTATCATTTCTATTGCTTTTTTGAATTTTTATTTATTTATTTTTAATTAATTTTTGCATGTTTGAATAAAAAAAAAACTGTAAACTTACTGTAAATCATTAATCTTTTTATACTTTGACTAGTATGATTGTGAGACAGGTATTAAATTTCATTCTAAGTGGTATTAAAAATGTCTTAAAGTTAACTAACATACTTATATGATGACAACATTTGAGGTATAGTGGAACAGGAATCAGGTAAAAGACACACCAATATAAAATAAAGTGAGTGAAACTGAAACATCTTTGGGATACCCTGATGAAAAAAAGTTTCAACCTCTGTAGGAGGAAGGAATTCATCTGTGGTATTAACGTCTCAATCAGCCATATCCATGTATTGAAAATAATTGTAATCTGTCTCATACCAGTGGAGAAGGTAGGCTGTCGCAGAGTCCACTCGTCGTCCCCTATCTTCAAGCGGTAATGGTCACTAGCGTGCTCCCTCAGATCCCAAAGCACCACAGAACCAACTGACGTGCCTGCAAACACCAGTATGGCCTTTCCAGGGCTGAAGCAACAACACAGCACCTGCAGCAGAGCGCATTAAAAAGGGATTACTGTCAGTGTTTTGTGTCAACGCTTTCATTGATGTTAGAGGTGAGGTGACTTTGGCTCCTCTGTGAGTTACTGGCAGATTTGCTTTCAGGCCAGCCAACTGCTTTTGATGTGTGTTTCATTTGAAAGGGAGAGTGTGTGTTTTTTGAAGTGGGGTTGTGAAAGATGCCTTTTCATAGTCAGTATATTACCTACAGTAGATGGCAGTCAGTACGCCACCAGTATGGAGAAACAGGCAGGGAATGGAAGCTGTTATCTATGCTTTCTCCTTTCATCGACTCCTTTGACAAAAACAGTAATTTTACCTTGCAACACAGGAGTTAACTTGATTGTTGACTGACTTTGAAGACAGCATAGATAACAGCTTCAGTTCTTTATCAGAAAGGGCTGTCTGATGGTAATATTCTAAACAGAGTGTACTTAAATTATATCGACTTTTTTAGGTGGCTGAAATACATTTTGTTGCTAACCCTTCCACAGCAGCACATTGCTTAGCTTTCATGGCTTCCTGCTTCTCCACACTTGGGACATACTGACCACCATCTACTGTAGGTAATACACTGACTTTGGAGTTGTCAGTGTACCTCATACAACCCCACTCACAAACTATCCCTTTATGACTGGCCTTTTTGGGATATTTATATGGTGAAATATGGAGAAAAGTTATTTCTCAGAGGACAAGCAGAGCACTAACGACTGCTGATTAATGTTTATTGTGTTGAACTTATTAAATCTAAGCAAATAAATACTAGTCTTGCTCACAGTTATGTTATGTTCTGTCATGAAAATGTCCGAAAACTATGTTAAGATATTTATGGGTATTTTAATTATTGTTATTCATCACAACTGACTTTGCAAAACTTGAAAGAACAACTTAAAAAATATCACCTCAGATTCATACACAAGGACTTTTTGAGGTCTGGATGGCTCCCAAATGTTCCAGATACAGATGATGGTGCAGCAGTCGAGACGCACAGCGCTGGGCTTAGTTGTAGGGCTGTGGACTGACATCATGGTGTGCCTCTGGACCTGAGAGAAGTGCATCAGGCTGATGCGGCGACCTGCAATTGATGATCACAAATGATGCAATCTGTTGTAAGAGCTAACTCAGAAGTGTAAACACACGCATGTGCTGGTTTATACAGTATATTCTGAACAACTGCTACTGTCCACAAGGCACGAACTGACAACTGATAAAACACTAAGGTTGTGGCGTGTACCATAAAGAAAAGGCAACTTAGTGTTGAGCTGTAAACTTCCATCACTGAAAGACAGCGTGTCTGTTTGAGACCTCAGCTTCCTCAGGGATTTTCTCTCAGCTCGATCCTCTTCCAGCAGGACAACCATGACCTTGATTCAGTCAAAAAAGACAACAGATGTCAGTTTTACAGTGTTACATCTTTAAACCTGTGTGTGAGTTAAATGACAACCTGCGAGGCTGAGCGCAGAAACTCTGTCAGGCGCTGTGAGTCAAAGTTCAATTCGCTTTTGTCTCGTGCTTCCTGAGAGCTGTTTGGATCTGTCAAAACAAAAACACCATTATTGAACTGTAAACACTGAGTTCATTGAAGAGAAATCTTTTTGACAAGCTTTTCCTTACCGCCACAGGCTCCACTGTGCTCTGGAGGATGCTGCGTCCACTTCTGACACGTCTCTATCTCCTCTGTCTGGATGTCTCTGTTGGCGTTATCCTCATTGCACTGAACATAAGCCTGACAAGGAAGCAGTTATAAAGACATTGACTACAGCTATTTCTTACAGGAAAACATGGAATATTTTGCTTTTCTCTTTTACAATCAGGTGTTACAGGTGTACAACAGAAACAAATACTGACCTGCTTTGTGTTTACAGTTCCAAATGTTCTGATGTACATGTCATATTCGTTAACAGGTGGCAGATCCAAAAGGGAGACCGTCATTGAGAAATCCAGATCGATTAAGCGAAGGAGCTCTGTACTGCGTTTCCTGGAGTCAGAGAAAGACACACATTGAGGGCATAAGAACACATACACTCTGTACTTGAGTAATCCTTGCTCAAGATTCCAACACAAAAGTGCCCCAAATCATAAACACAGAGTCACCATGAGCACCCAATCATATTACAAACCATGAATGTGTTTGTGCAGATTATCTTACTTCTGTTTTGTGGCAACCTTCTTGCTGACTTCACGCTGCTTTGCGGCTACAAAGTCGATAAACTTCCCACGTTGCGAGGCTCTACTCTGGTTCTTTTCTGATCCTGTTAGAAGAGCAGAAAAGACACAGACATTACCTGGCTGTCTTCAGTTCAGACAAGACGAAACAAATCTAGGTACACTGTGACATGCAATAACACCAAGTGCTCTATTTGAAGTAAGTTTGGGGGAGATAAGACAGGAAAGAACTGTACCTCTGGACCATTTAGGCCTATCTTCCTCCTCTCTGCTTGTACTTTGTCTGGACTGAGCTGTTCCCACTCTCTCATTCTCTTCATCCATGGCTCTCTGAATTGCTTCAATTTCCTTTCTCCTCTGTGGTGTAAGTTCCTCCTTCTCTTCAGCCACCTCTGGATGCTGTGGCTCCTTCTCGTCCTCGCTTTCATTTGCACTCTCATCCATTTCCTCAAAATCCTCCTCGTAATCCTTTGAACACAGAAATACCATTACTTATTACATAAAGTATGTTAAATGGAAAATAGTAACGATGATAAAACAAGATGTTATGACCACACACAAGCTCTGAATACTCACCACTTTCTTTGAACATAAGCATGCAAAAGTAACACAAAAATGAGTAAATAAATGTTAAAAACAAAGATTTAAACATGATGAGAAAACTTAAAAACAACAGAATTCGCCTCCATGTTGTGTGTCCTGTTTAATAATTAGAGTGCTGTATAATTACCTCAAAGTCATCTTCATATTCCTGGTCAGCCAAATCTTCATCATTGGCAACCTGCAGATGTTACATAAATGCATGAAGTAGAAAATATCTTAAATACTTAAATAACTCTGTAGAAACTCTTCTAGGTGATGCAGCACTGCAGTGAAACTGAAGCGTGCATACTGGCATGCAGTACAGACAGTGAACGGCTCACACACCAAACAAAAACACAGATCTGCAATTAGTTCATTTTTCTCAGTTTCAGCTCATAACTTCATACAAGCAGCTGCAGCATGAGCTGAAATGTAGTTTGTTTACTGCAAGCAATGGGAATGTAGCCGTGAAATCGAACTCCATTGTGACTGGCATGATATGTTCAAGCAGTAATGAATGAGAATAAGAAGAACACACCACCAAGCTAAAACAGGAATGCACAGCAGAGTAAACAAGCATCTTACAGGCTCCTCTGTGTCTTCCACATCTTTCACACTAGCTGTTTGGTGCTCAGATACCTTTGCTACATCCTGGATCATGAAGGGAACAACCATACAATCCATTAGGGAACTTTGAACAGAAAATAAAAGGATCTACAGGTAACAGTATACAGGCAGCTTATGGGCATACACACCTCAGTTTTAGTCTCACGCCTCTGACTTTTGTCAGATGCTGCAATGTGATGATTTCTTTCCACCTCCTCCTCTCTGTGCCTTCTCTCTTTGTGTTTTTCTCTTTCCTCTTGCTCCCTGTCACCACGTTGACGCATGACCTCTTCAGCTGACCCCTTCAAGTCCCGATACTCCCTGGATTCGCTGTCACGCTTCCGCTTTTCATCCTGGAGAGCAAAAAATAATCCACACAAGTAAAATGATGTGACCAGACTACATTACCTCATACTAGTCACAACTCTAGAATGAGAGACTCTAGAGCTGTTAGACAAAATGTTAATATGCTTACAGGATGTTCTCTCCCTTTGTGTCTCCTCTCCCTCTCTTCTTTATGTCTTCTCTCTTCATCTTTGCGGTCTGAAATCAGAAAAACATGAATGCTGACTCCATATGGAAATATCAGGCTATGTGCTCACGTTGCTGTGACCTTACCTCTTTCCTCTTTCACTTCCAAATGCTTTCTGCCTCCATGTCTCTCTCGTCTTTCTCTGTCATTCCTCCTGTCTTCATAATCATCTTTGTGTCGCTCTTTCTCTCGATGCCGATCTCTCTTCTCTCGTTCATACTTTTCAATCCCATCTCCTTCTTCTCTTTCCTCATGTCTCCGTCTCTCTCTGTCAGCCCTGTGCTCCCTGTTTTGTTCTTCTCTCCTTCTTTCCTTGTCTCTCTCTTCCCTCCTTTTGTCCCTGTCTTCATCGTTGCATCTCTCTCTGTCCTTTTCTTTTTCCCTATCTCTGTGTCTCTCCTTGTCTCTCTCTTCCCTCCTTTTGTCCCTGTCCTCATCATTGCGTCTCTCTCTGTCTCTTTCTTTCTCCCTATCTCTGTGTCTTTCCTTGTCTCTCTCTTCCCTCCTTTTGTCCCTGTCATCATAATGGCGTCTCTCTCTATCCCTTTCCCTTTCTTTCTCCCTATCTCTGTGTCTGTCCTGGTCTCTCTCTTCCCTCCTTTTGTCCCTGTCTCTATCTCTTTCTTTCTCCTTGTCTCTGTGTCTTTCCTTGTCCCTCTCCCTTTCATGCTTTTCCTCTCTGTCTCGCCTCTTGTGATCATCATCATACCTCTTTTCATCTAACAATTTGTCTCTGTCCCTTCTCTTCTCCCTGTCATCTCTTCGATCCCTTTCCTTATCGCCTCTCCTGTCTCGTGAACCCTCTTTCCGTCGATCTGCATATCTGTCTCTTTCATCTTCATTTCTTCTTTCTCTTGTACTCTCCCTTTCCTTGGGCTTTTCTCTGTCTCGTCTGGACTCCTTTTCTGGGTCTCTGCGGTGTCTCTCTATTGATTCCCCACCACGATGCTTTCTCTCACTGTCATCTCGCCTCCTGACATGATCATCACCATGTCCTTCCTCCTAAAAAAAGAGAAAATATAATAATTTATAATATTAGGATGTGATTTTGTTTACTGGTATAGATCCAGCTTAAAATACGGGCTTTTATCATGCTTTCCTGAACTCTCATAAACTTACCCTGATGTATCGTTTCAGGTCAGCTGGTCTCCATGTGTCTTCCTTGGTTATTTTCTAGATAAAATAGTATTTAATGTTCACTGGTTGACCGTATTAACATTCATTTTAAAGACAATATAAACATATTTTTATGACAAACCAAATCAATGCCAATCAACAAGACAACGTTCATTCCTTAAGACAACTAACATTTGATGACAACCACGGCGGACATGACAATTTCTACTGAAAAAACATTCCCCAGCTTCAGTCCACATACAATAAAGTCGAAGATAAAGCTCTTACCTTGTCGCTGTGCATGTTCTCATCTGTGTTTTTATATTCTGAAGCCTTTCAAACGCCAAAAATCAACTCATATATTTGTAATGACGCCGCCATGATGGTAAATCTTTTGTGCGCAGGCGCAGTTGGTTGAAACCAAGGAGTTCGCGTCACTTCAGCTTGACAACAGGCGTACTAATCAAGAGCAGAGCAATCGCTGGGATCAACAGCAGTTGCCATGGTAGCGTCGCGGTCCTTGACTATGTAATTCAATGGCGTGTTTTTGACAAACCGCATTAAAGGTATGTTTAAACTATTATAATCATTAACACAAATACACCTGTCGGTGCTAGTTGTGTGTGAGTTCATCTCGACGTTTGATGTAAAACAAGTCTGTTGATCGATTTCTCTGTGCTCGTCATTGTTACCCGTTCCAACGGCTAAATCATTTGATAGCAAGTTAGCTAAATAGTAGGATAATTAACGCTGTTTGTTGGAAATACAGTCAATTCCGCGTAGGTATTTTGTTTGAATAGTAATTTGACAAGTACGTCAACGTTACCGAAATGTTACTACTAGCTGTGTTTACCGCTGAACAACACCAGGTGGCGATGTTTATTGTTTTTAGTTAGGCTACGTGCACCACTAGTAGCGCACAGTGCACGATCCCTGTGCGTTTTTGGAGACCAGCATTTCTAACCTGTGCAGAGGAAGAGAAAGGAGAGCTGTGGACCAGACTGGACTGGTCTAGCGACACATTTAAACCATGCTGAATGAATTCCCCAGCTTTTAGTCGTTGCTGAAACTGAAGTGGTCAATGCCAACGATTCCCCTGAAGGCGATGGGCTGGTGTGCAGGTGAGCCAACGTGAGAAGAGGCTCTCCGAAGGAACCGCCTCGCACATGGGAACCGTGTCACCAAACCTTATCCGCGATTTAACACTTTGAGGACGGACTCTGGAGCACAGAGACATGTCTAGAGACAACATGACAGATGTACGAGGAGCCCATTCAGCTAAGGAGAATGGACATGTAGCGCCGAGCCCCGCTCAGCCCAGCGCCAACTTTCCCCATCCCTCAGCGGGGAGCATACCCGAAGACACCCCGGTGTCCTCGACCAGCGAGCTGACCCAGACCTGGGTCCACGTTGCTAAAACGTTTATTCTCATTTTCCCCATTTACGCACTGGGTTATTTTGAGTTCAGTTTCAGCTGGCTGTTGATTGGACTTGTTATCTTTTTCTGGTGGAGGAGAAACACTGGAGGGAAGCACAGCCGACTGAGCAGAGCTATTGCATTCTTTGAGCAAGAGGAGAGAAGTATCAAGCAGAGTCTCACCACCTCTGATCTACCACCATGGGTAAGACACAATGTGTAACACAGTAGATGAGACAATGTCCATAGTCGTTTATCCCACTTGAGCTGTTTCTCTGAAGAGCATGTGGTATTTTTGTGAGCAATATTTTTGAGTTTCCAGGAAGGTACAATCAGCTGACAAGAGCAGGAGGAGCAGAGTTGAGCTGTAAAGCTGTGATGAAGCAGCTGTCCCCCTAGCAGTGACATTAGACTGAGTCCCAGTCTAAATACAGCAGGGCACAATGGTAAACCAGACACCACGCTGTAAGGGAAACATGCCCATGGGTTCCCTGTTATTTTGGGATTCACACTGCTATCTCTCTTGCAGTAACTCACTCTATTACTGCAACACTTCATCTATGCAAAACTGTTAGATAACACCAGGGCTGTTTATTTTCCCTTGTCAGGGTTAACAGTTCTCCTGAAACCTCCTCAAAGACCTTCAGCAGTCTGCGACAACAGACTCTAAATATATTAACCGCAGGCAGTGCTTTCCCCTGAAATGAATATCTAATGCTTTGGAGCAGAGCTCATAATGTTTGTCACATAGCCATATGGTCTGTGACTTTTCTCCAGCACTGCTGCCTTTGAAATAGAGCTTTAAGACACCATGTTGTGAACTGCTGTCTGGAGGGAGCTGGATTATAGCATCAAAGGGAAACATCTCAAAGTAAATGGCTATTCATTGATTTAATCTAGAAAAAACAGAGTCAAAGTGAGATATATCTATTCAATGAAAACCCTTTTTAGGAGCCAGTTTGGATATCACTAAGGAAGCGGTCTTGATCGCATTTAATTGACTGCTATTCAAGCACAAAATACTCCTCAAATGAACTGCAAAATCAAGTGAAGTCTCACAAGTCTGAGCTGCTTAACTTCTAAAACTGTGAGTTCAACACTTTTCATGTCAGACTCATTCTGGAGTCACAGCTAAACTGGCTTGTGATGCTTAGTGCAGCCTCATGTTTTGAGAAGCAGCCTCATGTTTTGAGAACAGCTAAAAGCTAAGCTAAAAAGCTTATTCTGCTGACACATGGCTGAGGAGGCATTGGAGCTATTAAGTGGAGGTGGAGGAACTCGATGGGGTAGAGCAACATCATCCCACTTAGAGGAAAAAAGCATTAATGAATGGCCTCAGCATCCCGGATCATAAGTCTGTGGTTTATAAGAGAAACTGCAAGTCAATGTAACTCTGATTATACCTGGTGTGGATGTGTATTCCATCACAGGAAATCACATTATACCTTCCAGGGCTTTACAGCAATTGATGAGCATGCCCCAGAGTGACAAGCTGAGCACATATTGCTGCATTTAAACTCCCCTTCCTGTTATCAGGGGTGATTTTCACCAGTTATAGCTCCTAAATCCTGGCCAGTGCCAGTTTCTTCCCACGAGGCAGAAGGGAGTCTTAATAGAGACATGACACTGCTTCCACAAAAGCTTTTCTAGTGGAGTGCCCCCATTCCCAAACTTGTAGTGCTAAAGTGCACTACTCTTTGTTCCAGTTTAAACCCTCAGCTGTATTCATCAAGGGTGAGTCACTGGCCGGCTGGGGTAACAGCTACTTACACTAAAAGTAATGATGTGGAGCTTAGTTTAGCATCATATGGGGATACATTTCACACACTGTCTCTCTCTTATGATGTTTTCATCTGCTTCATCAGGTAGATGCTGTCTGGATTATCCAATCAGAGGACAGCAGACATGAGTTCAATAGTGAATGAAACACCTTGAGCAAACGCACACACTGCTGTCTAGGTTTTTTAAGGCATTTTTTCCCTTTATTAATGCTGTAAAAATATTCAGAAAATATGAGAACATGACAAATAAATATATAAATAAGGGAAAAGTGGCACTATCAAACACCAGACTGACCATAAACAATTCAGTATATAGGATTTATGGGAATATAAGGGCAAAAATAGAATATTACATATAGAGTATGTCTTCTTTAGTTTATGATCACCTGAAAAAAATAATTGTGTTTTTGTTGCCTTAGAATGAATTGTTTTTATATACATAGGGAGCAGTTTGTTGGCCACAGTGTCCACCATGTTGTACCGCCATGTTTCTACAGTAGCCCAATAGGTACAAACCAAATACTGGCTCTAGATTTGGCCATTTGTGTTTGCATGTCATCCAGTGCAGTTAGCAGCCCCTCCATGACAAAAGCGTCATAAAAACACTGATTTTTTTTGTTATGCAACTGCTTTTTTAGTGTTTCTACCAGTTTAATTCAACGGGTCCAATTGTTTTAGATGGGAAGATATAATTTGGCTCCCATTAAAATCCCTCTGAACGTCTGGATCTTAAGTTATAAGAGAAAAAAGGTGAGCATGCATAAGCAGGTGCTGGGCTAGCTGCCCCTCTCTAACATGCCAAACAGCATTTAATAGACACTGATTTGGAATGACAAACTGCTTTATTCAGTGTTTTTACTGGTTTAAATTAGCTGGTCTTTTTGTTCTGAAGAGGAAGACACCTCTGAGGATAATTGGACTCCTGGTAAAAACCTTCTGAACTTTTGGATCTTCAGTTATTACAGAAAAATGGTGAGCACACATTAGCAGGTGCTGGACTAGCGGCCCATCTCCAACTTGCTGAACGGTGAAGGAGAAACTCTGATTTGTAACTTATAACTGCTTTATTTAGTGTTTTTATTGGTGTAAATCACCTGGTCCATTTGTTTTGGAGAGGACAAGACATCTTAATTGGGCTCCTGGTAAAAACAATGGACATTGAAGAAATTCAAATCTGGAGAAGTTTCAGCTGCTTAAAATCTGCAGTCCTCGCTGCTAGATACCACTGAATCCCCCTAAATTTTCACACACTATTCCTTTAAATCATACATGAAACATTAATAATGTTGTATGTGTGCTAAAATTACACGTCACTCATAGAACATTACCAGCAGTAAATATACAGTCATTTGTATTTAAATTGTGCTTTGCTCCAGTGCATCTGTCACAATACATTTTGTGCAGCGACATTTCCAATTTCCTAACGTCACATGGGTCACCAGCAGTAGCAAAGGAAGACGAGGCCAGTATGCTGCTTTTTAAACTCAGCTTGATCTCAGTTTGTTGATGGGTGTATTGTTTAGAGTCAGATTGTCTGAATTATTGTAGATAAACTCAGTTGCACGTCTGTCAGTGTGATTTATGAGATGCAGGTATAAGTTTGCACTGAGTGTCTGGAATCAGTCGGAGATACTTCATGTCAGATTAATCATAATGTTTGTCTGTTGTATCTCTGAATGTGGTACTTTTCTACTTATTCAAGATATACATATAAACCCCCCTTAACGATATAATGTCTTATTAACAACAGCTTATATTTCGAGTTTGTTTCCAGGTCCTGATGACTTTCCAGACTGATTGTGCTCATTTTGGGCAGTGTGCACTCAGAGCGAATAACCCTATTAGTTTCAAGCACGCCGTTAATTACACGTTCAAGACATAAACCTCAATTCGTTTTCAGCTTTTTCACCAACACAGCAACAAGCTGAATAATTAAGTTGCTCTTACATTGTGCTGCACAGCTCAGTTTTATCAGCCAGCTCTTAAAATGTGTCCCATCGTCTGTATCATCCATTACTTCACCCACATTTTCTGAATAAGGTCACTGTGTCAGGTGTAATAATTAAGCCTCGCCAACGTCTCTGGCTGAGGATTATATTATTTCCACCTCATAACAAAACTTTAGGCTGAAATTTGTCATATTACATTACCAGAACTTTCTGTTCCCCATCTTACTACTCTTGTCACTGCTTTATTCACACTTTGACATTACCGCTGGATAAGCACTTTTGCTGCCTCCATGAGGAATAGTGCTGTCCCTTGTAGCTGTTGCACTGCATGTCATATCTCACCAGCACTCAAGCCGGAGGCCTCACTTTATCTTACTGTTGAGATTAGGGAATAAGCGCCTTCAATTCAGTGTGATGGAAAGGCTGGGCTGTTTATTTAGTTACTTCATAAGGCGGTGTGTGCATTGCCTCACACCTTTGTGTACCGTATTGACTTCATTCCAGGCATTTCCTTCACCTCATGTTAAATCAATGCTCGATTTACTTTGATTGTTAAGGAAGATTAGTCAAACTGCAGCTCGGTCTCACAGCACAGTTGTAGTGTGGAAATATGTGGAGGTCTGGATATGTGAGAGTGGTTGAGGCTTAGAGCAGGATGTCAGTGATAATAGATATTGGTTTTGGATTCATTTTGAAATTCAGCATGATCACAAAAGGGAGACTTCACCTCCCAAATGGTCATTTGTATCTCAGTTATTCACCCTGTGTTATCTTGAATTTGTGAAAAAGTGTTTTTTCCGCATGCCTCCAGTACCAGTGATCCAGAGTGTTAATTCTCCTTGTAGCTCAGGGCAAGCAGGAACGGGGCAGCACTGCTAATTCATATTGTCACACCAGTCCTTATTTACCATTAAGCACACACCTCCTCCCTTTTTTCTTATCGGAGTCTTCTGCTCTGTCATATCAATAGAATAAGAGTCACCTGGCTGAATAACACTGTTCGTCCATGCCTATGTCTTAGCTGTCAAGCGAGCTCTCAGTTGACAACTGCTAGATAACTTATGTGTTTAACATAAGCTAGGTATGTCAGCCAGCAGCTAATACTACCCATCTAGTTGTCAAGCGGAGGTACAATACCGAGAGATACAGCAATTATTTACTTGATACAAAATACATTATAGGCAGGTGCAGCGTCAGATTCTATTCTTTATGTATTGGAAATGGTTTCATTTGTTTCCTTGGCTTGAAAAATATGCAAATTTACTACCAATAACCTCAGAACTAATTTGATTTATGAAGAGGGATCCAGCAAAATATCCAAGTCTTATCCAGTTGTATGCTCAGTAGTTCCCAGACGAACAACCCTTTCCGACGGGAACTTGAACGGAAAGTGAAACTTATCCATCATCTCTCCAAAGCCATCTCCTATGACAAAAACAGTAATTTTACCTCGCTGAACACGAGAGTTGCTGGTCTACCACTGCCTCTATCAGTTTCTTTGTTAGTGTTATTGTGTGACTTTGGTGAAATTTAATTAACCCTTTAAACAAACCAACAAAGTCACACAATAACACAAACCAACTGATGGTGTGAAAGTTATTGTCAAAGTTATTGTTTTTGTCAATGCAGTCTGGCTTTGAAGGGAGCATAGATAAGTTTCACTTTCAGTTCAGTTCCCTGTTGTAAAGGGCTGTCTGTTTGGGAGGTACTGAGTATAGGACAGGATAAATGAGACTTGGATTATACTGCATGAGTTTGGTGTAGTTTTGCTGTTGTGTGTGCTTATAGACTGTTTTGAAACTTCTTTTTCATCTTCCTTTTTCCTTCATTTTCTTTCTTTTCTTTTATTATCAAGCGACCACTCTGCCCTCTCTTTAAAGTGTTTATGTAGTGATGATGTGTTCACACTTTTGTATTACTATAGCAATATAGAAGGTTTGTTGAGTCTGAAGTTCTCTATTATAATGTGCACAACAATTACAGAAGCAGTTGCTGGCAATGAAAATCTCGAATCTCAGGCTCTATCCAACAGTGCTCATTAAATATGTATTGAAAAAGATAAACCAGTAAAAACAATATATAAAATCTAAGACATTAAATAGTGTAAGTTAAAATATGCCGCTAAAATTAGGGCTGGAGGATATGGAGAAAATCAAGTCTGACTTGTTTTTTGCCAAATACCTTGATATCAATATTGTACAGATATTGCAGGAAGGTCTCTCATGATAATTATCAACTTATTGAGGTCAGCAAAAATGATCAAGGCCATGTCCATATGCTGCACTATAATACCCTTGTGATTACATAAATGTTTATTTACATAAGAATGTCTCCAACATGATGCTAGCAGGATTTTCCATTGTAAACATCGTGACCATTGTGAGACTTGAATACAGCGCCTAAGTGCTTTTTTACAGCGCCTAAGCAGAAAAAAAGACACATTCTGGGGTCATTTCTGGTCAAATTAAAAGTTCATTGCTCTTTAAAAGGGTGTACTTGCATTATTATGCTTTGATATTATCATGATATCCGTGGCATAACATTAGATGACAATAATATTGTTTATTTCAACTATTTCTGGAACACTATATCATCCAAAAAAGCAGTTATCATGATAGGTTTGACTTTAAGTGCTTTCACAAAATAATTACATGATTAGATTTTTGATAAATATCATCAGTAATGTGGATAAAATGACTAATAGAACATTTAGTTCAGTAAATTAAAACAATTAAATCACTTTACTGTATTGCAGCCTTTAAAACCAGGTAGAGACAACATTTACGATGTCCAAAATTTAAACAATATCTAGTCTCATAACACATATATATGCATAATGAGAAGCAATAAAAATATATAGACAGACAGAGGTGTTAAAAGTTTGTGTTTAAGTGACAGTGTGATGGTGAAAGTGACAGAATGATGACAGTGACAGTGTAATGGTGAAAGTGACAGAATGATGACAGAGTGACAGTGTAATTGTAAAGTTCAAAGTAATGTCCCAAGAGTCCAAAAGTCTTAGGGCCTGAGGCCTGTGAGATATTTGGCATAAAAAATGTTACATCTTCAAACTGGCTTTTCCTGAGTAACATTGTGAAAGCTTTTCAAATACATTTTGGAAAATTTGGGTTACAAAAGGGGACTAAATTTGCTCTAGGAAGTGTATTTGCCCTACATACAGTTATTTGACACTGTTTAAAATGGAAGAGATAAGGGCTCTGCACACTTTCCTCTTTTGCAAACATTTAGAAATATATCAAATTTTTTGTTTTTTGTCATGCCGAATCTTCACCTCAGTACCTGGTTGTTTAATACAGTTATTTTATTTAAATTGGGGGCTTTTTAAAGGAGCAGTGTGTAAGATTTATGGGGATTTAGTGGCATCTGGTGGTGAGGATTGCCAATTGCAACCAGCTGAAACTTCTCCTGGTTAGGATTCTTTCAGTGTTCACTGCTTAGGATGTTTTTACCAGGAGCCGAAATATCTGCAGAGGTCTCCTCCTCTTCAAAACAAATTGATCAGGTAATTTAAACTGGTAAAAACACTGAATAAATCAGTTTCATGTTACAAATTAGTGTTTCTGCTATGGTGTTTGGATCATTGGAGATAGGCGGCTAGCCCAGCACCTGCTAATGTGGCTCACTTTTTTCTAGACGTTCAGGAGGTTTTTACCAGGAGCTGATTTATCTGCAGAGATCTCTTCCTTTCGAAACCAAACAGTTGATTTAAACTGGTAAAATCACTGACAATAGCACTTTTATTTTAAAAACAACACTAGTGTTTTTCCGACACTGGTTGTTGTTGAGGGGCTGCTAACGCAAAATGCCCCTATCTGGAGCCAGTGTTTGGTTTGTCCTATCTAGGCCTCTGTAAAAACATGTTGGCGCAACATGCTGGTCTCCATTGACAGGTACCTGTTTCCTATGGAAATATAAACAGCTCATTCTAAGGTAACGAAAACATGATTCTTATTTTCAGGTGACTAAGAAAATGGCATTGTATTCCCCTAAGTCCTACACACTGTGCCTTTAAACTGAAAATAAAATGAAAAATGAAAACTCGCGCATAAAAATGCAAGTTCTGTTTATAAACACTGTTGTTAAAATGCAAGCATTGCCTTTAAACATGTTGCATTATCAGCCTTATTGAAAAAAACAACATAGATTATAGATGATCAGCTCTCTTTTCTCCACTGCAGGTCCACTTCCCAGACGTAGAGCGAGTGGAGTGGCTGAACAAGGTAAGGAATTGAGCGGCTGTCGCATGAATATGTTCGCCTGAGTGAAGCCCTCCTTTTTGCCTTTTGAGCTGGACTAAATGGGTTGTCTTTCGCTCTTCTGCTTTCTCCCCTATCCACATGGGGCGCTGAATATTGCCATGCTATCAACTGCAGCACCATTGATTTAACATGCAGCCCTGTTTCTGCAGCGCTGTGAAATGCATGAGCCCTTGTGAATCCCCATGGCAACGAGCTGGATGTAAATTGTTAAGCACTCATGAGTAAACATTAAAATGATGGAGATGCTGACATTAAAATTTAATATGCTGGTGGCTCTGCTTTAAGGATAGACCGATACATCGGCCGGCCGATATATCGGGCCGATATTTGAGTTTTTTACTTTTACTCGCGGATTTATTTTTCCCTGGCACTTTTTTTCATTTGAAAGTATGTGGTTAAGTTGAACAAAGCTGTTGAATCCTACTGTGTACAGTAGTTGTTGTTTTATTTATGCTTCAGCTTAAATATTTGTTTATTTTATAAAGACATTACTGGAAGATTTAAGAGCACTGAACTCTTTTTTTTTATTTGAATGTATGATAATAATAATAATAATAATAATATTCTACCTGTTCTACCTCAACTTTCCATCTTGTTTTAGTATTTTTTACTGTTCAATAAATGTTTCTTATTTTAAACTTGAGACCTGTAATATTTGTTATCACTGTGTCATTTTTTTGATGTAAATTGAGGGAGCAAAAGCAGTATCGGCCCCAAATATCGGCTCAAGAAAATCGGCAGTCCATAATCGGTCATCAGCTAAGGGTGATGGAAAAAAATCGGTATCGGCATCGGCCCTAAAAAATCCATATCGGTCTATCCCTACTCTGCTTGATGCGTTTGAGTCTGACAAGATACAACCTAGATAGAAATACATTCTGAATATTTTAAAGTAACTATCATTCACAGTGTGAGAGCCGTACAGTTAGGAGGTACAAGACTTTATGTGCACATGCCCTTTAAGATTACTTAATAAATGGAAAAGGGCCTAGTTTGTCCCATCAAGACTCAAAGTTCAGTCTTCTCTTCCTTTATTCCCTCAGACAGTGAAACAGATGTGGCCATACATCTGCCAGTTTGTGGAAAAACTGTTCCACGAGACGATCGAGCCAGCGGTGAAGGAGTCCAATGCCCACCTCAGCACCTTCTGCTTCAGCAAGATCGACATGGGAGACAAAGTGAGCCCCTCTTAGTGTTCCTGCATGCTTCAAAGCCTGATCATGTGTTGTTTCAGCAGTGACAAAACAGACTACTGGCAGCAGGTGCCGTTTGGACAGCTGGTGAGGGTGTGTGGGAGCCTCAGCGTGAACATACGTGCACGTCCCAGACACATGCGCTTATTTCTTAAATAGTTTCCACGTGAGGGTCAGGAGAGGGGTCGACCTTGTGCTCACCATGTGGGGGTTTGGGAGGGGTGGAGGTGTTGGTGTAGTGTTGATAAACTAGAGTGGAGCAGTGGCCATAATGGTTCCCTCTTTTGTTGTTTAGCCCCTAAGGGTCAACGGTGTCAAGGTTTATACAGAAAATGTGGATAAGCGACAGATCATCATGGATCTACAGATCAGGTGAGCCCAACAGATCCCTCTTAAAATCATTATTGTATTATGTTCTTGTATTACGGTTGTATTTTCCTTGATTGTGGTTTAAAGTTTGCAAAGTTTCTGTAGACCTTGAAAATTCTGCCAGTACTCCACAGATTTAGCAGTGCACTTAACATTAAAATCAGACTGATGATGGGTAGTTTTAAAGGGTAAAAACTGATACAGCAATACCAGAGATATTAACTTATTTAATCCTTGTAGTCTTCTTTCATGCCAAATTCTTATGCATACATTACCCACAGTGCACTCAACCGCTGAGAATTTGGTCTGAGATCCAGGTGTGTAATGCTAGTTGCAGCTAGCTTTTCTCAAGTATGTAGTTCTCCTCAACGGCCAGGTCACAGTGCTCGTGTGAGCAGCAAATTTGCATTGCGGAACCTCTTGTCCATCCATCCATCTTCTAACTGCTTCATCCTCTTGAGGGTCGCGGGGGGGCTGGAGCCTATCCCAGCTGACATTGGGCCAGAGGCAGGGTACACCCTGGACAGGTCGCCAGACTATCGCAGGGCTGACACATAGAGACAGACAACCATTCATGCTCACATTCACACCTATTCACACCTATCAATTAACCTAATCCCCAAATCTGCATGTCTTTGGACTGTGGGAGGAAGCTGGAGAGCCCGGAGAGAACTCACGCTGACACGGGGAGAACATGCAAACTCCGCACAGAAGGACTCCCACACCCGGGATCGAACCGGGAACCCTCTTGCTGTGAGGCGACAGTGCTAACCACCACATCACCGTGCTGCCCGGAACCGCTTGTATTTTATTTTATTTATTTTTATTTTTTTCAGCCCTGTGTTAACAGGTTGGAGCAGCCATACTGCCCATGTGAGCAGTGTTACTCAAGCGTGGCGCTGCTGCTGCTCAGATGTTGAACAGCTAGAACATCATACCATATTTCACTACAGTTTTAATGTATCTGTCACAGACTTGGAAAAATATAAACATTTATTCTGAATTCAACACTTCCTGTTTCTATTTCAAAATGAAAGTCCTGTCACAGTGTTTCCATTATCGCTATTTATAGTGAAATATTTGCAGGATCATGTTGTAGACAATGCAGTGGCTTGCACAGCTCCATCATTTAGTGGAGTACTGGCTTTTAACTGTTGAAATACAGTACTTATAGCAGCAGGCAGCTCTGCAGCAGTGCCGCAGCAGCAACACTGTGTGTGAACACCATACACATGCAAGCCACAGCAGTTTAGCAAGGTAACGGTCACATACTGCTCACTCAGGCACTAGTATTTCCATAAGAAGCCCTTGCTTTGTCATTTTCCCTTTCAGCTTTATTTTGTTCTTTAGTCAGTTGTTTTCTTTTTCTCTTCACTGACTCCGTCCCAGCATCAGTCATAAACTCAAAATATAACATTGAAAATAAAATTCCTTTAAGAGAAATCTCCTCCTGCTTCCTTTTAACTAGCTAATGTGCTCATTGCAAAACTTTGCCTGAAAGAAATGTAATCATGGGCTCCTCTGTTATGCATGCTGTAAATTGTTTCACCTGATTTGGTGGGGAAATGGACCTGGGGACAACCATTAAGAATAAATATAAAGAAATAATCAGTCTTCTTGCAGATGGTCTTGTTTGCTTATGTAAATTAGGTCATGTGAGGACATCAGTATTAAATTGATACTGCTTCATAACCAGTTAAAAACTAATTGCAGCTGCTTTAATCTGAGAGAATTAAAGCATTGAAAATAATCTGCAACAGGAGAGCAACTCATATTGCTTTAATAAAGAAGTCAGTCTAATTATTGCAAATGGGATCTGATTTTAAGCTGCAGACAGTGCAAGTAGTTTTCTGCACAACAGCAGAGCACTGTAAAGTTGGTTACTTTGCTGAGAAGTTATGTAGCCTGTCACCTGCAGCTTTCTATCCAACAGCTCATTGTGGCTGCTCCTTCTTGTTCCATTGTTCCCTGCAATATTTACAGCAAGCTGAACGCCTTAAATGTGAAACAGCAGCGGTAGGAAATCTAGCTCTGATACCGTGTAAGGAGCATGACCAGTAAACAATGAGGTTATCAGTGAGATGAAATTTAAAATAGTAATGCTGAATTTCACACCGCCATGAAGGCAAACTGAATCCATTGCGGGAATAGCGGACTCCACCACTAACAATAAAAAACACAATTAGAGAGGTAATTATTTATGTTAGTACACTGAATGGGTATTACTGGGAAAATACAGACCATAAATATGATCAAAACGGAGCTTGATTTCATAAAATCCTTTAAAATCTGGAAAACATCAGGATTTATAATGCTTAATGCAATAATATGCAATATATTTTATAACATGCATTGATATCTTGATAAGCTGCATTAGCATTTGGCACAATACACAAATAGTACCTTCTGATATGCCACTTCTTTTTTGTTTTTCTTTTTTATGATTATTTATCTGTATGGCTCGTGTGCGTATATGTGTGTGTGTGGGTGTGAGCGTGTGATCATCTGTAGAATGTTAATGTACCGTTACACCAGCTGCACAGCAAATTTCGTCGTGCAATGTGCTATGACAATAAAGGCATTGCATCCAGTTCTATTAATATGACTCAGAGAGCTCAGTGACTACAGTGATGTCACATCTGGAGGAGAACCCTGTGATGCATGTTTGTGTTTATATTTATACAGCAGGAGTTTTAAAACAACGCCACAATGATGATGAATAAAACATGGAGTCAACATGATGTCTGAATTCAACCATTGCCATGTCTTATCTGACCATGAAAGTCATTTTAGAATTGATAAAACATAAAGGCAGCCTTGCACAGGATGTTTTTATTCATACTCTGTATTTCTGTGACTCAGCTTTGTTGGCAACACGGAGATTGATGTGGACATCAAACGCTACTACTGCAAAGCTGGCATTAAGAGCATCCAGGTAAGGGACTTCTTTTTGTCTGATTTGTTTCACATCCTCACAGAGGTGCTTTCCTCTGGCATGAGTCCTGGCCCCAACAATGGTTGTCAGAAAAGGAACATGAAGCGTTGGATATAAAGTGGCACAGTGACTTCGGGTAAAGGTCTGTCTTGTCAACTCCAATTTGAGAGGCTTTTCAGTAGTGGGTGAACAGAGGCTTTGAATTTTGTATCACATACAAAAATAGGATGCTGAAGGTATTTGGACAGGAGCATTTCTCTTTTCACTAGAACATTATTTTTTCACATTTCTGAGCTGTGGCATCTTCATAAATGTCTGTATATATTAAGCTTTTAGCAGAAGTGTGTGACTTCATTGTATCCTGGCTTGAAAGCAGAAATTACTCGTGTACTGTGTGCTCACACTCATGAGGCTGCCATGGAATGGTGAAGTAAATGATAACTAAAGTAAAATCATCATGTACTGCAGCTGTAAACAATCAGTATGAACTGCTCCAGAGCACTGGTTTCAGACCCTCTATTTTTAACCTGAGACCCCTTCAAAATACACTCTGGCCACTTTATTAGGTACACCTTGCTAGTACCGGGTGGGACCCCCTTCTGCCTTCAGAACTGCCTTAATTCTTTATAGCATAGATTTAGATTCAACAAGGTGCTGGAAACATTCCTCAGAGATTCTGGTCCATATTGACATGATAGCATCACACAGTTGCTTCAGATTTGCTGCGCATCTATGATGTGAACTCCCGTTCCACCACATCCTAAAGGTGCTCTATTGGATTGAGATCTGGTGACTGTGGAGGCCAACAGTGAACTCATTGTCATGTTCAAGAAACCAGTTTGAGATGATATGAGCTTTGTGACATGGTGCGTTATCCTGCTGGAAGTAGCCATCAGAAAATGGGTACACTGTGGTCATAAAGGGATGGACACGGTCAGCAACAATACTCAGGTAGGCTGTGGTGTTTAAACTATGCTCAGTTGGTACTAAGGGGCCCAAAGTGTGCCAAGAAAATATCCCCCACACCATTACACCACCACCACCAGCCTGAACCGTTGATACAAGGCAGGATGGATCCATGCTTTCACGTTGTTTACGCCAAATTCTGACCCTACCATCTGAATGTCGCAGCAGAAATCAAGACTCATCAGACAGGTGAGCCTGTGTGAATTGTAGCCTCAGTTTCCTGTTGTTAGCTGACAGGAGTGGCACCCGGTGTGGTCTTCTGCTGCTGTAGCCCATCTGCTTCAAGGTTCGACGTGTTGTTGGTTCAGAGATGGTTTTCTGCAGACCTTGGTTGTAACCAGGTCCAGCCTGTCTGGCACCAACAACCATGCCACATTCAAAGTCACTTATTTCAATTTCTTCCTCATTCTGATGCTTAGTTTAAACTTCAGCAGGTTGTCTTGACCATGTCGTGGTGCCTAAATGCATTGAGTTGCTGCCTCATGATTGACTGAACAAGCAGTTAAACAGGTGTACCTAATAAAGGCGCTGGTGAGTACATCATTGCCTACTTGCAACTAGGGGTGCATCGATATGACTTTTTCTGCTCTGAAAGATACCTGGGCTTTGGGTATCGGCTGATACAGAGTACTGGTCCAATACCAGTGTTGCATTAAGAAGCTGTAAGCTCCATTGTGTGGAAGTGACTGGGATCATTCTTTTTTGTGTAAGGAAACATCAGGCTTGACTTAAACTTTGCTTGCATAACCTTGATTTCAGTTCAGAATACCTCCAAACAACTGACATGTTTGTTGTTAGCTCCCTCAGCTATGTGGCCTCCTGGCACGCTGCTGACGCATGACTTAGTATGCGAATGTTTGATCAAACGGAAAACACAGAATGTAATTTAATAGATGAGCCCCATTGTCATAATACCAGATGCAGCTATTTGAGTCAGTGTCGGTTAGATGTCCGGTACCAAAATCTGGTTGAATCATCGCTACTTGCAACTCTGTGCTGCTGTCATCGCATTTATAAATGTTGTGAACAGTTCAAGAGTTATTTCCTCCTCCGAGATTTTTTAATTCACTATCCAGTATTCTCAAACAAAAAAATGCTCGAGACAAATCTGGAAAAAATATTTCTGTATTGCAGAAATGTTTTTTTCTTCCTTCCTATTCTATTTATTGTCTTGTCTCATAAAACTGCTCAGGTGGGTCTCACATTGGAGACTGCCTCTCTGCAGAAATATAAAGACAGCCAAACAGCAGATCTGCTTAAGAGAAAGCAAAATATATAGAGAATCATAATACAAAATTAGACAATAAAAATATAATTATTGAATTATTCACACATTACAGTAAAAGACTATAATTATCTCACTGCACTTGGCCCCTCCTTGATTAAATGTGTGTAAACATAATAAACATAATTTTAAATAAATAAACTTTGAAAAATAATAGATTTCCATAATAATTTGCATCTTCTTCCCTGAGAAAATTCTCCTGCTCTCTGTCGTGCCTGACTACCTCAGTGTGTTTATGTGTGTCTGTGTGGGTCTCATTGTTTTTGTATGTCCTTGGCCTTTTTGCTGCAGTGGAACATAGCAGGCAGGGAAAACAATCAGTGTGCCTCCTTGGAGACCGAGTGCTGTTAGGTCTGTCCCTGGGAGACATTTGTTGCTCGCTGCCCCCATTATGTAACTCAGGGAGACCTACATACCTCCCCAGCTCATTATCAGCCAATAATACATTAGTCTCTCCATCACTCCTCCTTGAGCTGGTTTTCATTACACAGAGCAGGTGCATTTGACTCCATGGTAACGCTTAGATTATCGATGGCTTTGTGAGGAGTGGGGTTAAGTGCTGCCGGATATTGGCCTATTGTTATTTATTTAATATCAGCTTGTTATGTGGTCCCACTACTATGATGGAGGTCCACTCCTTACCACATAGAACGTACATTGAAACTGCTCTGGGGCTGGAGCCAATCCAAGCTGATACTGTGCAAGAGGTGCGTCCCACGATGGACAGGCTGCCGTACTATCACAGGGCTGACACAGAGAGACATTGCCCATATTCACTTCTACAGCAAATTTAGAGTACCAGTTACTTGGACTGGGGGAGGAAGCTGAAGAACCTGGAGAAAAACGATGCTGACCCAGGCGAACCTAATACGGCAGGGCCCCAGGTGGCCGATGGGTTCGAATCTGGGACCCTCTTTCTGTGAGGCAACAGTGCGAACCATTGTGACTGATACGTCAGTACTTAGAGACTACAGAAATGATGCATGACTGTGTCATATCCAGAAGTGTGGACTCAGGTTGCATGACCTCGACTCGAGTCAGACTCAAGTCACATATCTGATGACTTTAGACACGACTTGACAATATCAAAAAGCACTTGCAACTTGACTTGGACTTCAACGCCATTGACTCCTTCACTAGGACTTGACATAAAAAATACTTGATACTTTCCCCAAAGCCCAAAAATGAAAAAGGCATGTTATTTAAAAAGCCATGAATCAGTTCATTTCCATACTTTTCCGTACATTAACACTACACACTCTTAGTTCCCCAGATCCACTTTGTTTGAACCAATCCGACAGCATCCAATCAAGCTGAGGTAGAGAACCATGAAGTTACATTACGTTACTGAGCGCCAGTTGGAAAAATCTAAAGATAATTTTGTTCACATACAAAAACTATAGTCAGCAAAAACTAAATTACAACTTTTGTCTTCTTTTGACATTTAAAGTTGCACAAAAACACATGGTCTTGGGTAATATTAACATAATTAGCAAGCTAATGCTCAGATAACGTTATTACTCCTTTATTAATGTGGTATTACATTTGGTTCATGACTTGTTTGAGACTTGAAGCTAGGTACTTAACTTGGGATTTGACTACCAAGATTTGAGAATTATTTGTAGCTTGGAAAAATATAACTAGTTCCAACCTGAGGTAATAACATTGGGATGTAAAAGGCCTCATAGAGAGGGAAATTATTGTTGTTATAATTTTGATTTTTGTGCATATTCTTGCATTTAAATTTAAGTTTGAATTCTTGTTCATACCCCTTAGAAATTCATGGATATAAACTTCATTTGGTTTGCCAGCTGACTCTCTATTTCATTTTCTTAAGAGCTGATTTAATCTCATTGGTGACAAAGTGTAGGATTTGTTTCCCAGTTTTTGGTAACAGCATCCATGGTCACAGAAATAATGTGAAGTCTCAAAATGAATGCAGTGGCATTTACTTCAAAGAGCTGCATGCAAACACTGAAAGAGCTTTATTAGTATTGCTTATGAGAGCCTTATTGGTATTGGGTTCTCTGCTGTAATTGCTTTCTCACCAAGATTTTATTGCTCTCCATCCTGAAAATACAAATATAGCCTCAAAACAAATGAACTGGTGCTAGTATTTAAACACCCTTTGTTCTCCGGTGAGGATTAGAGCAGCTATGTGGGGTCCACATGACACGTGTAAAGCACTTCCAATACCATAATCCTTTTAATTGTCATAGTATGTTATGGAGAAGGTGGAGGATGACACAGGGCAGGTGTGAAGTCAGGCTGTGATCCAGTTTCCAACCTGACATGTATGACAGCTAACGGCTCCACCGCAGAGGAATGTCAAGGGCCAGCGGGGTGTGAGCTCCCTATGTGTATGTGTGTCAATATGTCCCTCTTGTGTTTCCATAGATCCACGGCGTGTTGAGAGTGGTGATGGAGCCGTTGCTGGGTGATATGCCTCTCATTGGAGCTCTGTCGGTGTTCTTTCTCAAGAAGCCAGTAAGTCTGATAACATGACACCAGTTAATTCAATTAAAACCTGTTTAATGGGGCAGCAGTGGAAGTTATAATGACACTGCAGTCTGAATAAATGTAATATGATCAGAGTAGGGGCTGTTAAAATGGTATTTGCGATATTGAAAAACAAAATTAGGTATCTCCTAAATCTTTTCCAGCATCTGATATGATGCAGCAATGCAATATATTAACCATTTATATTATAGTATCATTTTAGACACACCTGATGATTTATTTCTGAGGTTTTTACTGAGGTTGGTCCCATTTCTGTGAATATGACAAAATATCCTGGATATCTTTTATATGCAATTGTGGTTCTTTGTTAACGTTATAGTCTTGGTAAATTTTTATAACATTGCAACTCATAAAACAAATCTGTTCTTGGTTTGTTGCTTTGTTATCTGTTTTTCCTTTTTCAGGCAGGAATAATTAATGTAAATTAGCCTTTAAATGTTTATTTCATAAGTCACATCACAGCTGAATCACAGCACAATGTGTTCCTTTCATTTTACAGCCCTGACTCCCAGTTTGTTTTCCCACCCTGGCATTGCTTTCGTCATTGTCTGCGCTCCTGCAGTTTAAACACTCTACATCACTTTACATGATTTGCATTTCACATCACCCTTTGTTTGCATAAGTAATATTTTCCAGTGCACATCTCATCGATCTTCCTGCCCAACCCCTGTGCAGAGCCACTGCTGCACAGCTTAAAAATGTTTGGCCGATTTATACCAAATGGGAGGACCCAGTGGAATAGCAGAGCTTTAAATAGCTCCAGATGAAGCCAGCCCTACTTTGGCAGATTTCTCTACCCCAGGCACTTAGCTAAAGCTCAAGGTGGAGATACTGTATTACTGTGGGAGGCAGGAGGGAGAAAGCAGCAGCTTCACTCACTAAATTGTGGCGCAGTCCCACATGTGCACACACATACACACACACTTACAGAACGTGTCTTCTTCCTGCTTCTAGACGATGAACATTACGTTGGTATAGTGCACGAGAGAGAAAATAAATTGCAAAAGTAATTTCCTGCGGGCAAAAAAATGTCGACATTGTGTACCCTGGAATCCAAATAACTCATCTTGTATCTCTCAGCGTGCCATACAAGGCCTGATCCGGAGTGCCAAATGAAATAGAAACATTTCCAGACCATAAGAGGTCTTGGCCACAGTGGGGCTGTGCGATCGCGCTAACGCGACTCAGTGCAGTGTAAATAAAAGGATGCAATACATTCTGCTGTGAGACCTTGAAAGAGAGTCTATGGCTCAGGCTCAGTTAAACAGTTATATTTTAAAGAAGGACTTATGAAGCAGAGTCTAACAGTGAAGAAGTGAAAATGATGATTTTTTTTACATTATGGACAGACGTATAAATTAATTAATGGTTTTAATGTGTTGATAAATCTTTTTTTTTTTTTTCAAGTAGATCACTAAAAGGAATAGTTTGAAAATTGTGAAATAATCACTGAAAAATGTAGACAATCAAAAAAACCTTATTTTAATAACTGATCATTGTCTTAGAATGTGTTACATTTGCAGGTTACAGCTTCCTCAATTTGATGATACCTACTTGTGTCTTTTTGAGATCATTATAAGTTTTTGGTTTTGTTCTGTAGGTAAGAAAAAATTTTTTGTGGGAATAGTTCAATTTTTTTGCAGAGGCAGCTGCCCCAGTTTCAAATGTCAAGTCGGCTTCAACAGTGTGACAAAATGTCAAAATTAAGTGATCGAGGGGACCAAACTATTACTGCAATGACTGTCTTGAGAATAGCATAAAAAAAACTTTCAGAGCTGGACCAAAACACATAGCTTTTGGGAATATGTGCCCAGAGTTAGATGAGAAGTTTGATGCCACTCTGATGTTTGTATGTTAAATATGAAGCTCCAGCCAGGAGACATTTAGCTTAGCTTAGCTTCGCATAAGATTGGAAACACAGGGTCCTGACATACCCTGGAATACCTGGACAACCATTGACCAATTTTCCAGTCATGAAAACTACATGGAAAACGAGAGAAAGAGTAAGCTGAGAGCTACTAGGCTTTCTATCAGCACTCCCTCGAGTATTTAACATTACCATCTGAAAGGGCTTCGGTAAGTCATGTTCAGAATTATATTAACGTTCAAATAATAGTTTATGGATGAGAATATCAAGAATAGTCTGCCCAAAGTTATGCAGTGGAAACGTTGTGAACACATCCAAAAGTCATGGTTATAGAGATCGTCCAAAATGTTTTTAAGGCCGATTCCGTTACCGATTATTAGAAATGAAGAAGACTGATAACAGATAATTGGAACCAGTGTAAAGCTTTGTTTCAATGCGTCTAAGCATCCTATGTTCAATTAAATGGTGCAAAAGAGAACTTTTCAACATTATCTTTGATGTCATTGATCTTCCACTGTCTTTGTATGTAGCCGGCCTTCCCTGGTGTCGGAATGTGTAACACTCCCACAGGCCTACGGCACTTGTAGACTTTTTCTTTGGTGCATCCAGAGAGAGACAGACTGGATTGCTTTTTTTTATCATGAAGGCCAGTGTTACTGTATAAATCTGTGGTATATCAGTGAAGTGTATGAACTACACTGTAGACTGAAGTCTCTAATAAAGGGTGATTTATGCTGCAATCACATGAAATCATAGAAAAGGTAGACGGCACACTTGGTATCGTATTAGTAAAACTAGGAGAGGCCAGTATAGAATACCAGCAACATTCAAAGTCAAAATATTTTACATCACTGTACATCTGCAAATGTGTTTGCATTATTCATCGGTTGGGCGTACTTTATAAGCATGTACGAGATGATTTCATAGATCATTTATAGCCATAGAGTGCACCTCTTCTAAATCAGACTGCTGCAGAAAAGAACATATTAGCATATGCTGCAATCCCTGTCTGTCATACCAGTGAGATCATAAATGAAAGTCCCAGAAAGTCCTGGAAAATGATCTCTAGATAAGCGTGGGAACCCTGCAGGGCGAGGCAGCTTGTCTGGCTCTGTCCAAAAACTTGTTATCTCCAGGAAGCTGTTTTTCCACTTTGGATTTTGTATGGATTAAACAAATGAGACACTCAGACTTAATTAGTGACCTTCAGAGGTGCTGGTAGGATTTAGTTACCTTTAGACAGAGCCAGGCTGGTGCTTATTCTTGTATTCCTGTTTCCAGTCTTCGTGCTATACTAAGCTAAGGGGCCGTACACATGCCGCATATTCAACTACCTGGAAATGGCAAGGTGCCACTCTTGTGTCTTTTTCTGTGCCAGCTAAGGAACCTCAACAAGCACCATATCATAGCCTACTTTCCTGAAATCCTGAGTGCAGAGCTTCTCCAGGCACTGTCTGTGTGTAGGCTTGTTGTCCATGGGACAGATGAAAAGCTCTGTGTAGCCCTGTACTAACATAATCAACTTCTTGTTCATATTTATCACAGACTGATATTTATGGATAAAGGAACAAATAACTGTCGCTTGTAATTGGTTGGTCTTCATCACATGACATTCGGTGCGTGCTGCTGCATTCCAAAAGTCTAAACTTTGTTTATCTCAGGGCACAACCGCTGCTCCCTGAAAAATAGGCAATCAGGAACGTGTGCGCGCCACTCTGGCGTTTAAGTGCGTCTGCCATGCGTCTACATTGAAAACAATGAATTTGAGGGCACAAAAACGCAGCATGGGTACAGTCCCTAACTGCCGTCTGGCTGTAGCTTCATGTTGAACATAGAGACACAAGAGGGGTATCGATTACTATCCAACTGTCGGCAAGAAAGCAAGCAAGTGCCTTTCCCAAATGTCAAAACTTTTCCTTTAAAGTGTCTAATTTTGTCTTTACAGAAGTCTGAAACCCAAGTGTATGAAATTATTGGTGATATCAAACAGAGAAATGCAGGAAACCCACAAAACTGAGAAGCTTGAACCTGAAAAAGACATATTATTTCTGAATTGATTACTTGCCACTAGGTTTATAGTTGGAATATAGTGCTGTTTATTCAGCACCTCCTTGTCACCCAAATATAGTCTTTTGACTGCACCATGGAAATAATTTGCAGTCACGGGTGTGTCCCTCTACATCACCTTCCCACAACACTCAGACATCTCCACCACATCATTCACAGCCCCGCAGTGCTCTCCTCTCCCCTGTGCTGTCAGTGCATCTGCTGCAGTGTAAGCACCGTCGGCTGAAAAGTAGGGTGGGAAAGCCTCATTAAGAAAGCTGCTTCAGCTCGGAGGCAGGAACAGATCAAAGCTCAGCGAGAGGCAGGATCTGCCTGAATTTCAGGTCTCAGCTGATGCTGTCCACACTGTCTTTGATTTAGTTTCTTCCACTGTCTCTTGCCATATCCAATTTGACATATGTCCGGTGTTGCCCACAAAGTGAACGGAAATTAGTTGGTTTTGACTCTAGAATACTTGTTACTTTCAAACATAGAAACATATATAGTCCATGATCTTATTATACCATGAAAACTAATGAGACCCCAGAGGCTTGCTGCTGCTTTTATAAATATTTTAGTAGGCAGGTGTTTTTGTAGTCATTTCCATACAAGGATCTGCTGGCCTGTTGACACACAAACTATAGTTAATTGTGGACAGTGCATCCATTTATACACTTTGAAGGTAAAGCAAACTAAAAAGGCAAAAAAAAACTCCAATGAACTTAAAGGACCTGCATGTGACACTCAGCATTGAAGCATTGAAACAGCATTGAAACAGCAGCAATCCCCTATTTACTGTGTAAAGATATAGTGGAATAATGGAGTCCTAAGCGTAGAATGAAGTCACTCTCCCTCTGTGTGTGATGTAATCCAAGCTCCTCTGTTCAGTGTTGTGTTAGCTGGTCCAGCTGTGTGTGCATGTTAGCAAAGATGCTCTAGATACAGCACAAATGAGATGTTTGTGCCTTACGTAGCAGCTTGTTTTAATCTGCTGGCTTAATATCTCAACCCTGTACAGGTTCATGTTAGTTAAATCGGGAGAGACTCGTTCTGAGCGAAAAGAACACTTATTTACTTGAGAAATGTGAAGAGTCTTTGGCGATTAGACCCCATCTTGATGTCAACTATTCCAGGAGGGTGATAAAGACGTAGGAGATTAGGGAATCCCCCTATGGAGTCTAGATGCTGGTGGTGATAATGGTGGTGATGAGATGAGATGAAGAGGGAGCTGAGGATCTGGATGTGAAGAGGAGTGGGCTTTGATGAGCTGGACCTGGGTTCTGGATAAGGTGACTGGAGGTGAATGGGATGGAGGAGGGCGCGACAATTCTGCCTAAAATGACAGCTGACACGAGCAGAGAGGAAAACAGATTTAAAGTTTGGCAGTAGCAACATGAATAGCTGAAGGAGATCATGGTCAACTGACTGGAGGAAGCAGTGGGAGTGGGATCGAGAGAGAATTGTGAATGAATATAGCATAGATTAGACCAGATTAGTTTATTTGTCCTATTAGGAAAATTTTCTTCACACTTCCATACATCTTGAGTGCCAACCTGACATATATACATACCCCACAGATACAACATGCATTTGCCACACACACATGGATTCTCAACACATAACATACAATATAACACAAACACATTTACACATTTACACGTAAGCATAAAGAAAGTCTTCCTGATTGTACTTACACTGAGCTTCATTTGTTGCCAGAGCTCACGATAGTGTGTTGCTGAGACAGAGACAGGTCTCGAACAAAGCTGATTTTACTGTCAGGATGTTTGGAAGACATGCGGCTTGTGAAAAGTGGGTCCAATATTTACTTCAGTGACGACTGGGCGAAAAAATCCTTCATAATCTGTGCTTACGTTCACTTCTCCCATTAGAGTGAATAGACTCAGGACCTGCCGCTAGTCTGCTAAAGCGCCGGGGCAATGGCGAAACCCACCTGACACAGATACAGAAAACGACTCTTAAGTGCGATGTCGTAATTTCTGAACCGTCTCTGATGTAAGTCCCTGTGTGTATTTCCCACTGGCTAGCTAATTGCTTCCGCTCAGTACTGTGCTCATGCAGCAGTTAATGCTGATAACGCCATCCAGACCCATAGTGATGGAACGGCGTCGGCGAGGAATCATAACTCCTACCCTCTGGTTCCCCCTCACATTAACACTGTTAGCTCTGTCAGCACTTTTGCCGTTGCTAACACCATTTTGCACCGTTAGCACCATTAGCTTCTAGCTGCTGGCTCAGCCACCTCCATTCAAGATTCAGAATCATAGATATGCTCTGAATGTTGCATACAGTCCCTTTAAGTATACAAGGCCAGAGATCTTTCATAATTAATGTTGCTACAGCATAGTAGTTGAAGTAGTGCTTTGTTGTAAGAATTGATCAAAACTGCAGCAAATTGTCTGCAGAACTTTTGATTTATATTATTTTGCTGGGACTTGTGTAGGACTCTTTGTATCTGCTGTTATTAATCAGCAGAGTTTGTTGGCCAGAAAGTAGGATGCCAAGTGGTAAGTGTAGCACAGGGCCAGGAAACAATAAAGTTAAGTGTTTGGATCAATTTAAAGTCATTCACACTTCCAACACTTGCAGCCCTGCTCAACTCTATGTTTTTTTCCTTTTTAGCTTTTGGACATAAACTGGACTGGACTCACAAATATACTTGACATTCCTGGACTCAAGTAAGTAACCTCAAACCTGCTTGTCTTGCTGATCAAGAAATAGTCTTTGTAAGAGAAAATTAAATGAACGTTGAGAGTTAGAACTAGTTTTAGAACAAGTAGGTTTTAGTGTTTGGTTTCAGGAAACTGGCCATTTGCCCACTTTCTCTCATGCCATTAATCACTCATACACTACAGCACTGTTTAACTGTGACTGTGTAAAAAAGGGTCAGCAGTGAAAATCTTTAGAGTCCCAATCAAAAAGTTTCAAAGAACAATAATAGGCACAGATATGGCAAAGGCCCGACCACCCCACCCCACAGACTTTGTGGTAGTTTGCATCTCATTGTAGTAGTTATGCATCTTTTCGATTGTTTTGTGTCTCATGTTAGTCATTTTGTGTCTCTTTAAGGTAATTTAGTGTCTCTTTGGTGCAATTTTTTGTCTTTTTTATTGTTTTGGTGTCCTTTTGCAGTACCTTTGCAGATCCTTGTGGTCATTTTGTGTCTCTTTGTGGTCATTTTGTGTGTCTTTGTGGTTGTTTTGTGTCTCCTTGTGTTTATTTTGAGTCTCTTTGTGGTTGTTTTGGGTCTCCTTGTGGTCTTTTTGTGTCTCTTTGTGGTCATTTCATGTTTCTGTGGTTGTTTTTGGTCTCCTTGTGGGTTTTTTGAGTCTCTTTGTGGTTGTTTTGCCCAGTCGTGTAGTTATTTTGTGTCTTTTTGCATATCCTTTACATCTCTTTATGGTCTTTTTGTCTCTGTGTGGTTGTTTTGGGTGTCTTTGTGGTTATGTTATTGACACTTTGGGCCCCTGGGCCTGTTCATAGGCACTTTCAATAAGTCATCCATCATTCCAATACTGAAAATACATACTGCAGGGGCTACTTTCACTGGACTTTATAGTGTATTTTTACTGGATGCTGTCCTGTCTAGTATGAAGATAAATCCCATCAAATGTACAGACAGTATTTTCTGCTAATGTGTTTTTTTCCTGCTGGATGCCTGTGGTGTCCTTGTCCTTGTTACTGTTGTGATTAAGAGCTCGATCAGACTGGGCTGATGATGTTAAATTTGTCTTTTTGCAAGCAAACACTCAAGTATGATGCATTTCTTTAAATATGTGTGACATGCGGTATGTTCACATACCGCATGTTCCTGTGAATAACCAGATTAGGATAAGAGTTTTATGATCTTACTTGGTTAAAACCGGTCATATCAGGAAGTGTGTTGTTTGTAGCCTGTTTCCTCATTCTTGCTCAGTTTCTCTTGTTTATATTAAGTGTCTTCTCCCCTCCGGTAGTTGTGTGGGCTGAACAGAGAGTAAATGAGAGTTGATTAAGAGATGCTAGCAGCCCAACACAATTACTCGCTGCTGTCTTGAGTGGTTCTTACATTATTTACACCCCGAATAAAGTGACACATGCATGACTGAATGCCCCATGTGATTTTCTGGGATTACAGCTGCTTGTTATATACCCTGCTGATGTGGAGAGACATGTTGGCACAGGCAGTGCTCAGTGGCTGGTCCCCGTCAAGTCTCCTGTTGAGTCCTCCCTCTGTGGGGGTGAAATGGATCCATGTCGCCTGTGCAATGTAATATATATGTGGGCACATGTGCATGTGTGTGGGAGTGTGTTGGTTGTGGAGGAAGGGGGAGCACGTGCAGAAAAAGAGGAGTAAGCTTCTGTGGGAGAGGCCCAGATGGTGAAATCTTAGCTGCGGTGACAGTGTTCCTTCAATGCAGCAGGAGACAGACAGACAGCATCAGCTGCCTACGTGAAGGCTCTCCCACTGTGTTTCTGTTAAACCCTGTTATTATTATTATGCAACAAATGTCTCACTTGTTTACATGTTGTGATGTGTCATCGCTGCTGAGCTGGTTATAGAATCAGAATCAAAACAAGATTAAGAGACTGCAGCCAGCAACACAACTGGCTCTGTAAGGCTGATCTCAGGCACAGTGCTTAGAGCAAAATGCCAGCGCTAACATGGCAACATGCCATAGACTGTATATTAAGATGGACGACGCGTCTCTGCTTCCTGCCACTGTACAAAAATGAAGCCAAAATATCCCAAATATGGATGCTGCCATCTTGCACTGGTTGCAAGAGTGTGTCTGGGCCAGGCTGTCAGAATAGCAGCTTAGCCTTTCACCCAATTTCGCCTAGTGGCCACTTGCAGTATTGCAGTGGAAAAAAAAAACCTGCGGCCCAAAAAGCATTTTCCCAATAGACCACAAAGAGACTGTAAAACAGTTGACAGGACACCTTGAAATGCAAACAAGATCAATTCTGTCTCTTTCTGTTCTTAATTTTTGGTTGTTAGATATTTGTAAAACTTAACTTGAGCCAAGAAAAGTGATTTAAAAATCTGTGATGTCATCACAATGTTAAGTCTATGAGCTGAGCAGGAACTTGCAGGCGGGGTCAGTGAGAGAAACACTACTGTGCATAATGATTGGGCTGCATACATACCTGACAGCTGGAAATGTTTTTGCCGTTTTTTAATTTGGCCCATAGACTGTGAAAAAAATGGTCGTAGCTACTGTGATGTCACCCATTAGCTTGTGGACTCCCATTTTGAAGCACGAGTTTGGTTCTTTGATCTTCGCCATCTTTGTTTTTTGGAGCCAGAAGTGACCATATCTGGGGAGAGGCTGCTGCTGTGGAGGAGCGAGGGATGGATCTGACTGAGAAGCCAAAGACACTATCTGCTGACAGCCTGGCCATGCCCTTAATTATGCATAACTTTAAGCCTTAACAAATGTAAATGGTGAGTTAAAAAAAAACATTCACCGCCTGTAGAGTTGTCAATATAGGGGAAATTTAGCTATAGAGACCAAAACTGTTTTTTGTTCCAGGCTGTAAACAATTGACTGGGGATTGACTGGCTTTTGGAGCCAGCCTCAAGTGGCCGTTCAAAGAACTGCAGTTTTTGGGATGTCCGTGTTGATTTCTTTTTTCAGCTCCGGTGGTTGCGGCCTGGTTTTGCGTATGTCCCATCCACTAACATCAAGGGGGCAGGGTTTATGACCTTTGCTGCAGCCAGCCACCAGGGGTCAATGGAGATGTTTTGTCTTCACTTTTGGGGAGCGGTCATGTCGTCCATGTTTAATACAGTCATTGGTTAATCATTTTTAGCATGCTAGCCATCTTAGGTTAGTGTGTTAGCATGCTAACATTTAATAATTGTCCGGTAAAGTACAGTTGAGGCTGACGGGAATGTTATTAACTTTGGAGTTATTTGGTCATCAACCAGGTAATTTGACCTGATGATGGGGCTGGATGAAAAGTGGATCACCAGATGTATTACAGTTCATCATCAGTGTACCAAATTTAATGGCAATCTGTCCAATAGTTGTTGAGCTGTTTTACTCAAAACCACAAATGCCACCTTATGGTGACACTACAGCAATAGTCAGGGGATCACAAAGTCATTAAAATTCATCCTCTAGAAACCATGAATGTCTGCTAATTCATCTAATAGTTGAGATATTTCAGTCTGAATCAAAGTGGTCTACTGACAGACCTACATTACCATCTCTAGTGCCGTATTGCCAGCATGTCTGAAAACATTATTGCCTGTCAAAGGATGATATAAATGTTTCTTTGACATGGCTCACAAGAGAGTACAACACAGAACCATAGCTGTACATACTGTATATTACAAGGTATGCGTGTGCGTGTCTGCAGTCAGCACTCTTGTCCTCAAATGAGTGAATAAATGGTACCACTTTTGTTACCTTGTGTGCACACACAAAAGCAGTTGCGTGGGGTGTTCCAGTGTTTATGCCAGGGGAGCAGCAAAAATGCAGCAATAAGCGCTGACGCAGCAGGAATCCCTCTACACCCTCAGCTCTCAGCTGGAGAAAAGCACCGTCTCTGATCAGTCCTCCACCAGAGAATCATAATGTCTCTAATCGGCTCACAGAGAAGAGCTGCAGCCTGCCGCTTCAGTGGAAGATACGCTGAGGATTGATCAAATGAATGTTTCTCCTGACTCAAGACACAAACCGAGCCAGCCTAGTTTAGTTTATTTCATTGGAGGTTTTGTCAAAGCAGATGGTGTCTGTGCTGCTTCAGTGCCGTTTCACGGTATCAAAGGAAATTTTTAAAGGAATTTTAACTGGTTTTGCAGGACAATCCTGAGAAAGCCTCCATAATTGTCACTTGTCTATAGAAATGACCCTCACCTATCCAAGTTCATGGCTTACCCATCACAATAAAGTTGCCTTTATGACAGGAAAAAATTGCAAGGTTAAAATTAACTGTGGGCATTTCTAAAACATAAGTTATAAATCCCTTGTTGGATTCACAGCTTTGACTGTATTATCTTCAAACAACGCCTACAAGAAATTCGAGCAAACTCAGAACAACTTTGAAATGTCAAATAGCTGCTGGCTAGTTATAAATTGCTGACATCTGGGTGGTTTGACATTTTGAAACTAGTTTCGTTGTTTGTTGTATTTCCGTCGTTTGTAGTCAGTATTTGTTTATGTACTGTATGTCTGGGGAAAAAGCTGGTTTACATATCTCACTGTTCGCCAGTGGACTTTGTCTCTGAGCTGCTGCATGTGGTGCTTACAGACTGGTTGGCCTGTAGTTGGCCTGTGTGTGCTGGGATCAGGTATTCTTTGAACTGTTTGCTGTCGGAGCTGACAGCAGAGAGGAAATTATTGGGTGTTGTTGAGTTGTTGTGAGCCTAATGAGGAATACATTTCTATATTGCCTTCAGTGATGGGCGACCTGACTCTTTTCACAATTTTGGCGAAAAGTTTTTGGTTTGGGAGTCGACACATGTAAATGTACCCAACCTTTCGGACCTTTTGAGTTTTGCTACTTTTTGCAGTTCAGTTTTTACAGTTTCTTCTTGACACTCCATTATAATATGTTCGACAACTAGTGCTGGTCTTCTCTTCGATGCATTACTAGTCATCATGTATAAGTTTACATTAATAAAGGCAAAGTATACACAGGAGTAGGTTCAAGGTTCTGTGCAGAGCAGTTAACAACAACACAGTACAAAAGAATAAATCGATTGAAAGTCAAAGCAAAACTGTTACAAAAGTGAGAAAGATTAATAGTAAAAGAATAATCCAAAATAAGTTCAAAGATGTATGCATTTATTCTGTAACTGCTTATCCTCTTAGCGGTCGTGGGGGGCCAGAGCCTCTCCCAGCTGACATTGGGCTTCAGTGCGGAAGTTCAGTTTGGTACGCTTTTTTTCCGTTTCCACTGTGAAGAGTTGTGGATGGTACCAATGGGACCGTTCCGTACCGTCCCCATTTTTGGTCACCCCTCTGTTGGGGTAGCTAGCACACAGATCTGGTACTAAAAGGTGGAGTTGTGAACATTGTGGTCTGTTGATTGCTCTGAAGAGTTACTTTTGGTTCCAAAGGTACCATACCGAAAATGTTTGGTTGAAACGGGGCTTTAGTAGGGCGAGCAGGTGTCCCATATGAGAAGGCAGTGTCCCTGCTGCAGCGGCCGCAGGTTTGATTTCAGCCTGCGGCCCATTGCTGCATGTCTTCCCCTCTTTCCCCCCCTTTCACGCTTGGACTGTCCTGTCTAATAAAGGCAAAAAGCCTAATATTCATTGTAATGAACTGATTCAGCATCCCACTTGTAAGCAGGTAGGCTATGTGAGCTTAATATGATGTTACAGGAAGTCACTGACCAATTATCAGTCGTTCTTTGAGGGGCAAGCAGCAGTTACCTCAGCAGCTTTGTGCTGCATTCATGTGGTGTCGATAATAATCTGAAAAATGATCATACTCCTCACCTGATCTGCTTTCTTTACTTTTCATGATCATCAATGTGTTGTTTAAGCGCTCTGAGCAATACAGTAATACCCATCTTCTTTGTAGTGTCGGCATTTTTTTTTAACATCTTAAAGCTCATGAAAACACCGAAATCAGAAGAACAACCATCCGGGGAGCAACTGAACTCACTCTGGACCCGGGCTAGCAGAGATCTTGACTTGTGATTTAATTGGTCCTCCCTCATTTATTCAGTGTCATTGCATTACTGCAAAACAACAAAATGAGCAGCAGGAAAGGGGTGCAATTTTGGAAGCAGGCCATTCTAGCTGAAATGGTAAGCTGACCGCTCTGATGCTATTCATGGAATATAGCCTAAAGTATTGTCATTGGCTATTCCAGGCAACGGGGGATAAAAATTGCTACAAAATAACGTACAGTAAAACATCTAACTTTTGCTAAGCTCTGATAATTATTTATATTACACAGGTCATGTTAACTCAACAGATGTTACCAAAATGTGATTTGACTGCATCGATCTGTTGTCATTCCTGGGCAAGCAACAGAAGTCCCACTTCGAGAGAATGGTTCATTCAGTCTCGTTCAATAAGTGCAGCTGCCAGACTGCTTGAGCCTGATGCAGTTGCTTCTTGTTCACTAACTGTAGCATTCAGCATGAGCAATACCCTACGATAACAGCGAGTGGGCGAGTGGGAGAAGTCAGGGATTCATGAGCAATCGGATGTTTGACAGGCTGACCTGGTATGTACTGGACAGTACAAAGAGTCAAAAAGATTAGTTTGTTTTCGCCCATGGGCAATACAGTGGTGCAGTGGTCAGCACTTACAGGAAAAGGGTTTCAAACGCACTGGCTGGCTGGGGCCTTCCTGTATGGAGTTTGCATGTTCTCCCCATGTCAGCGTGGGTTTTCTCTGGGTTCTCCAGCTTCCTTCCACAGTCCAAAGACACACAGGGTAAATTAATTGGTGACTCTAAATTGCCCGTAGGTGTGAATGTGAGTGTGAATGGTTGTCTGTGTCTGTGTGTCAACCCTGTGATAGTCTGGCAACCTGGTGTACCCCACCAATCTCCCAGTGTCTGCTGGGAAAGGCTCAGCTGCTTTTGCCTTGCAGGTAGCAGTAACTAGAGAAATGGTGAAATTGTGAGATAAGTTGGAGTTTAAAGGCTCCTAGCTATCTGTGTAACTCATGTCCGCAGTTTGGTTTTTCTTTGTTTCCTAGTTTTTGCAAATTTGAGAGGCTTTGCTTGTCCATAAATTGCAGTTTTGTATTGTTTAATAATTTTTACATGATAAAACAGATGTCAAAAACTCTTTGATACTGTTCGTAATTACAGCATTTTGATTTTGTCAGGCAGCACAGGAGGTCTAATTCGTGTAACTGGATGTTCTTGGTTTGGAATCTGGCAGCTTTTAATTGAGTCCATTGTAAACACCCTGTACCTAATTCAGCAAGACAGCTAGGACAGGAGTTCCCAAAATTTATAACACTAATTATATACAGGCTGTCACCTAGCTACTGTAGTTGCGACCCTGGTGGACAACTAGAAAACACATGGGAAACGTACATCAGGTCCTGTGTTTTGGTAAATGTCCGATTTATTAGGCAACTTGTCAACTGACCATGTCGTTGTATCTCACATGGCAGCACTTCCCGCTGCCCATTTTGTAGATTTATCCAGTGTGTTTTCAGAGTCCTGGAATCACTCCACAGACAATTTCAGGATCACTTTAAGTTTACCAACACCTTTGATTAGAATGTCCACACATCATGATATATGGACAGCTGTGAAGTAATCACAACTGTTTTTCTTGGAGGGACAGGCCCAGCAACAACACCGTGTGATGGATTTTCACTGTAATTCCATTTTTCCCAGCAGCGATCGCAATTTTCCAGCTGCGCCGCGGCAGCTAAATGAATAAAGAGAAGCCTGGCGGTAATGCCATTCTCTGTCCACATTGTCATTGTTGTTGTCACGAAGTGTTGAATCATTAGTGGATCAGATAGACATTCAGAGGGTTGTTGGCCAGCAGCACCAACATGCTTGAACTGACTCCAATTTTCCTACTATCTTCTTGCATGTAAATCAGAAATGCACTGTACTAAGCTGAGATTAAAGGAGAATATTTATAACCCAAGGGCACCCGTGCTGTCTGTTAAATAATTCATTGCTTCATTCTATTTATCTCCCTTTTTTCCCTTCGCTCAACCTTCTCTCCTGGCATTACAGTGGCTTCTCTGACAATCTGATTCAGGACATTATCTACAGCTATCTGGTTTTACCCAACCGCATCACCATCCCACTGGTCGGGGATGTGGAACTGGCCAAGCTACGCTTCCCCATGCCAAAGGTACTCATTCATTTTGAAAATACAATCAAACAGGTGGTTCAATATGCCTCTTCTTGCTTTTTGGGTTAGCTCATAAACTCACTGCTTCCTGAGGGAATTCATGGTTAGTAGCCCTTGATAGCCTGATCTCATGGGATCTGTGTGATGTGTGTTTTATGATTCTTCCTATCATAAAAGAAAGTAGTCACCAGGGTTTTGCAGCCAAATCACAGCATTAAAACAGGATAAAAAAGAGCCGGAGTAGCAAAAGAGCATGTCAAGGCTTTGTTGCAAGTACCTGTATCCATGGCAACAAGACAAACACTTGAATATATGTCACTGCAAACAGCATCCTTCTTGAGGAGATATTATTTTGTGATGTTGAAGATATTTTAGGCTGTAATTACTGCATGCCTTTGCTCTCTTTTCTAGTGATGCTGCCAATCTGACTAGTTAGGTGTATTATGCTGGCGAAAGTGAAAGCAAACCCCAGATTCACTCCACTTGGCAGTTTGCATTATTTCTGCGCTTTATCCGTTATTTTCGTAGCTTCCTCTTGGATGTGTGCTGCTTACAGTCTGGCACCTGGTTGTTACCTTTTTATAATAAAAGAAAAGAAAATAAGAAAATACAGGCAGAGGGAAGAGTCTCTGCAGACAAATACACCAACACACACTTCTAGGGTGTCATAAGTGATAAGTGAGAGGGATTATATCTGTATGAGTCTGTACAGTGTTTTTAAGGAACTCCTGCATATTATACCTTTAATGTAGAACTACAAAAGATGATCAGTTGATGTCAATATCGGATAAAAATTAATCAGAAACAATTTAATAATCAATTAATCTTTTAAGTCAGTTAACCAACAACAATGTCAGATTTCAAAGGCAGGCATTCTCTGCTTTTTCCTGATTTATATCACTTCAGAAATGATTTAAAATGGAAGAAATGTTTTACACTCAAACAAACAATTTAACACCTTGTGATGGGCATTTTTTGGACTATTTCATAGACTAAACCATCACTTGCTTAATTGAATAATAAATTAACAGATTAATTGAGCTGCAGCTAACAATTATTTTCATTATCGACAAATCTGCCTATTATTTCCACAATGCATCGAGCATAAGTCTATAAAATTTCAAAAACTTGTGAAAAATGCTCCTCACAATTTCCCAGAACCCAAAGTGACATCTTCACTTTGCGTCTTTTGTCCAACAGTCCAAAACCTTGACTTTGTCAGCAAATTCTCATATTTAAGAAGCAGGAATCAGAAAATGTTTGACATTTTTGCTTGAAATATGACTGACACAGCTGATTATCAAAATAGCTGCCACTAAGCTTTCTTAAGATCGACTAATCAGTTAGCTGACTAATCTTTGTAGTTCTCTTAATGGACTTTTAAACTGAGAAAATGAAGGGAAAATAAGGTTGATTGCAGCATCAGTGGAATGGACACTTAACATATACACACACAGAGTCTAGTTTAGATGGAAGTTTTACAGTTAAGGGACAAAAAGGTAATTATGTAAAACAGCTGCAGCCATACAAATTGTTAAAATCATTAACTGTTGAGATAAATTATTCATATAGGAAACTGAACAAAATGTGAATAATAGATAACATCATCAACCTAACCTAACCCTAGTAACAAGCCACAGTTTTCTCCTGCATGGCCTCATGATGCCCAGTAGGTAATATCACATCCTATCAACTCTGAGTCCACTGTGGCCTCGAAGTGTCAGAGGCTGCTATTTCAGAGTTGCCTCTCCTTTACACTGTGCTCTGCGCATCTCCACAGGGAGTCCTGAGGATTCACTTCTTGGAGGCTCAGGATCTGGAGGGGAAGGATACATTTCTGGGAGGGCTGATCAAGGGCAAGTCTGACCCGTACGGTGTCCTGCAGATCGGCAACCAGCTGTTCCAGAGCAAGGCGGTGAAGGAGAGCCTCCACCCCAAATGGAACGAAGTTTACGAGGTGACAAGTTTGGGATGCCTCCTGGAGTAGGATGTTTATCACAATGCAGTTTCAGCTAACAATGAAAACAAGTGTATTTTCCCAACCTACATTAAATGTCTAGTGTGTAGGATTTAGGGGGCCATGTTTTGGATACCTTAGAGGAGGAGACCTCTGCGGATAATTCAGCGCTCTCTAAAAACCTCCTGAACAATGAACTCTGAAGGAATTTCAACTGGGAGAAGATTCAGCTGGTTACAATCTGCAGTTCTCCCCACTAGATTCCACTAAATCCCCCTAAATCTCACACAATTCTCCTCTAAAGGAGGTAATTAGTTTATTGACTGGACATGCCTGTTTGATCAAGCATCAATATGTGCTTGTCTTCATCAGGCTTTGGTGTACGAGCACTCGGGTCAACACCTGGAGATTGAGCTGTTTGATGAGGATCCGGACAAAGATGATTTCCTGGGAAGGTGAGTTCCTCTCATTTTCTGCTCTGATCTTATCAAATACACTTTGTGAGAAACAACGTCTCTTTGCACCTCAGCAATATGCCCGATATATAACAGCAAGCTTTGTTTTAATGGATCAGCTACTGTATGTATAGTCAACCTAAGGATCTGGTATGGCATTACAAACTGTGTCCTTAACACAATGTTGATACCTGAGGGGAAAGTTTGATGAAAGTATCTGTGCTAGTAGACATCAGTTAAAGTAAAGAAGAGGTGGTATCCCACAGTTCTGAGCCCAAGGGCAAAGTCAATTGATTTTACCCCAAGGATGTAACACAACACCCAGCGCTGACAACACAAAGCAGCCGATCGATAACTGGACCCCCTCTGTTTAGATTAATTGTTGTGATTTCTCTGCTTACTGTTCCTAGTCTGAGTAATCATTAGTCATTATTCACAGCCTGATGATCGATATGACTGAACTGCACAAAGAACAGAAAGTTGATGAGGTAAGACAATATTTTTGGGAAAATTATAGCACTCATTTAATTAGAATTTGTGTAGAGTTTATAAATTATGTTTTTATGGAGTAGTTCAACATCATTTAGGTTTTGAAGATTATTTTTTATCCAGTTGTTACAAAAATCAATAGTTTGGTCCTTTTAAAGGCTTGAATCAATGATTTGACAATTTGTATTGCTGTTGCAGTGGTTTAACCTGGAGGAAGCTCCTACTGGGAAACTCCACTTGAAACTGGAGTGGCTGTCTCTGCTCTCCACTCCTGAGAGGTTGGACCAGGTACAGCACTGAGAAAAACAACTTTCTTGCTTTAAGGGAACACTTTGTCTCTCAAACGACAGTTTGTATACCAGTTACTCACTCTGTGTTACTTTGTTTTTCTTACACGCCTCCATGGTGAACAAAGAATCCAAAAACAGAGAAAAACTGATGTTTTGATATCGTTTTGCTGTTGAACACTGTCCATTCTCCATTTTTGGATTCATCATTCACCGTAAATGCATGAGAGAAAAAGCAAAGTTTTCTTCATGAATTCAGTGTATCACAGGGAGAGTTACTGATATACATGTGGTCATTTGGGGGGTGAAGTAGCCCTTTAACAGTGCAGATATCTTTCTTTGTGGTGACTGCCTCTTCTGTCTCACCTGTCCCATCAGGTGCTGCGAAGTGTGCGCGCAGACAGGAGTCTGGCCAATGACGGGCTATCGTCAGCACTGCTTGTGGTCTTTCTGGACTCAGCAAAGAACCTTCCTGTAAGACAATGCAATGTTTCCTTTATTTTGACGCTGCTGGCATTGCTATTATTCTGATGCTATAGCTTGTAGTAAAAGATAGCATCAGGCTTATGCAGGCTTCTTGTTCTTAACCTAAAACACACACACACACCACATTTTGCAACACTCTGAACCAGTTTAGTAAGAAATACCAGTGTTGCACTCGTGTTTAAGTAGGGATTATTGGTCAGTGTGCAGGAATGCTCTACTTTGCTGTTACCATAATGTTGAATGCTTTGCTTTATATGTTCTTTGGAATTTGGTTTTCACTGCACCCTGACCTCCAGGTGAACCTTTCCTTATTATCTCAGCTGCTACAAACCCATTAAAGCAGCAGCTAGTTATTGTGGATGTGGCCTCCAGCTCCAAACGGGTCAATATGTTTTTAACAAGTTTAATGTTCCAGTCACTACAGCTCAGGGATTCTGTCTTTTGTCATTATTTTTGAGAGCCTTGAATCTACAAAACCTTTATTTCTCAGGACATTTGTATTTTTATTTAATAAGATTTAAATGCAGTCATTGCACCAAATGTGGTAAAACCTTCTTTTAACCCTTTGAAAAAACGTCAATTACAAAAGCAACTCTTTTTTTTTTGCCATCTCAGTCCTCATAACTTCACCTTTTCTCCTCTTTACTCTCTTTCCTCTTCACCCAAGAGCGTCTTCACAGGCAGCTTAGGCTGTGGGAACTTGAGTGAGAGGAGAGCATCGGGTCTAGTCTTTTGTGAGAGCAATACTTCAGAGTATAGAACAATATTTGTGAGTCCCCCACTGCGTCTGCATCCTGATAGCATTAGCGGTGTGCAATGACGTGGGTTGAACAGTAACAGGAGTCTTTAAAAACCTGCATCTTAAAGCATGTGTTAGCTGCACGGTTTAATTGTAATGTCTGATGAAAGTTACTCCGAGTGCCCGACAACCATTAACATAAAGCAGACACATCAAAACAGAGGCCTCAGCTATGCCTGCTTGTTAGTCAGATTCTTATTCTTCTAAATCAGGTGCTCAGTTCAAGGCTGAGATATAAAATATCTGCAGTACAAAGAGCTCGGTTGCAGAGCCCGTAATGATTTCTGTCTGCATTAGTGAGCCAATTAATGTGTAGCTGCACAAATACAGATAGCTTGTTAAAAGTGGCGCACAGTGTCTCAAATAAGCTGCTCCAAAACTTCCCCGAAGGAAAGTCCCTCATTATTCTGACCTGTATATTCATTGTTAGCTCCCTGCAGTGTCAACAGTACCAGCTTCTTATTTATCACCCATATCATTCATGTTTCGGCATGTTTTTCAACATGTTTTTCTGTTTTTTTTCCTCATGCCTCTTAACCATACCCAAACACTTTTGTCCTACTAACTGTGGGTGTGATTTTCTCCCCCAAATCTCCTTGTGGCTTAAAGAGCAACCTGTCAGATTTCACCTATGACGGGTTGAAGCAAGTCTCAGTCTTTAAGGCCCTGAAGGTAATGTGGGAAAAATAGATTGCAAGTAAAGATCACACCCTCATCTGTGTTTTCCCTCTGTGACCTGAAGTGCACCATCCACCGTCATGTGACTGTGATGATTATCAGACTAGAGTGAATTGTCCTTTTTAAGATGTGCATGAAGATGGATGATTGCATTGTCTGTTTTGTGCATTTGTTGTGCTGTGCGCTTCTTTCTTTTTATTAGTATTGATACATGATTTTCCACCTTTCCTTACTCATGTGATCTTGCATGCAAAAGTCTAATATTGCACTCAGATATGTTGTGTTCTCAGTGTGTATTCAGCCTGTACAGTTGACTGAAACTGTGACACCCTTACAGCATTCATATTTAAAGAAAAACTGTCCTACTCCTGCCTGTCCGACCGTACCTACATGCCCGTACCGCACCTAATTTTTTATGCATTGGAAGTGAATTGGGTCAAAGGTTGTCAGCAGCAAACCTGCAGAGCAAGCCAGCCTGGGTTAGCTAATCAAAAAGCTGACCGTGCCTACCTCGTGTTGAAACCTATGGTATGGAACAGGAAGTCAGAAATCAACGGCTGTATTGTCAGTACTTTAATATTTCCAGGAAGTTTCAATTCTCGCATTGTCACACATGGAGTGGCACTCCCACAGTGCAACATCAGTCAGCGGTGAAACTCACTGCAGCATTGTGTGTCAGTTTTAATGGGCTTAAAGGGCAACTGGAGTACAATTACTTCTGGTTTGCTCCCATTAGTTGACTGTTTGTTACCATGCCTGCTGCTTCCCAGCTGGGCTGGCAGATAACGAGATGACAGATTGATGTAAACCTGCTGATTATGTTTTATAACGCACAGCTTTCTTTTTATTTTCTTCTTCGTGTCTGTGCTGGGGAGTTGTTTAAAATGCCGCTTTTCCTGGGCCACATTCTTCCTTTAGGTCTTTCAGCATCATTTAACATCAGAATATTGATTTAGAGAACTCTGGCACTTTTCCTGGATGTACACGACTATAATTTGGAGAATGCATACACCATAAAGTGCACACCAGTGGCTCATTTATACTCCCTTTACATACAAAAATAGACACACATACTTCAACGTGTCCTTTATGTTGCATTAGATACAGCTAATAGATGGCACTAGAGGGCAGAGTCAAAAGTTTCTGACAACAACAAACAAGGTGACGGTGGAGGAGGTCGTAATACTGTATCTTTTAATGGAGGCAGCGTTGTAGACGGTGGTGATCTTTTTGAAAAATGTTGTTGTTATATTACCAAATAGTTCTGTTCTGCCAAACGTCTTCATCATATCCTACAGTCGTGTCTTTCTTTAACTACGCTACACTGCCCCCACGGTCTCCCCACGGTGGTGCTGCTCTGTTTTCGCTGTATGCGTAAACTTTCAGAAAACGCACACAAATACAACTGAAATGAATGCAGAGTACAAACAGAAGGCTCCATCCGTGTTCATATACTGTTATTTTCAGGATAAATGAACACTTAGTACTTGTAAACAAGTTTCACAACTGTTCCAGACATACCATGCTGTATAGCTAAAAGGTTTTATGCTAGCTTGCCTTCACCAACTTTGTGAAGACATGATATCTGAGAGTGATATACTGGCTGGGCAAGTGGGCCCGAAATCTACTTGCCCAAAATCAGTTCTTACTTGCCCCCACACAAATTGTTTTATTCTTAAGTATTCATCAAATAATGGAAACTTGTGCTCAAACTTGTGGCAAACTGTGTGTTAGATTGATGGAGCCCACAACCCCCCAATGCCACCCAACTAACCTCCTGTTTCTATAATAATTGAAATGCTTACTTAAGCTTCAGTCCATATATTTATGCATCACTGTTTTCTTTCAAGTGCGCGATCATTAACGCAGATGTGCAACTCTCAACAGAGATGAGAGGAACCAGGATGGCTCACTCTCAAGCCATCTCCATCATCAGCTCCAGAAGAAGCAATGTGCTTAATTCTTTTTTACCGCTTTCCCGATCGGACAAGTGGGTTGGTAGATTTCCTCAACGTATCCTCATACAACGGTTCGATTGATATCCTTCAAATTAGTGCCCCAGGAATGATGTTATGTCCTTTACGTAAAGCCACTTACTTAATGTAAAGTTGCGTGGGTTAGGGGGGTCCATGTCATTGGTTTGACATGTCATTGGTTCGACAGCCCATTGGTTCGACATCCCATTAGTCTGACTGTCCGCGGTGCTGAACGGCTCGCGGCGGGCGTATGGTGCGCCGCGACCGGCTTGAGGCGGAGCAGGCTCGCGGCTTATGTGTTTGTCACTTTCTTTTTCATTTTAACCCACACCACGATCTTTTCCTGACCATTACCAATTGGTTTTTGTGCCTAAACCTAACCAGACCTTAACCACAGGGCATCATGATGATTTCGGAACGGACTTCGGAACAATGAGTTTAATATGGTCGGAACAATGGGCTGTTGAACCAATGGGCAGTTCCCGGGTTAGGGTTAGGCAAAAGTTATTGTGGTTAGGTTTAGGGAAAGAAACATGGTGACAGTGCAACTTAAAATGACTCAAAGTTCACTTAATTTCATGTATTTTCGAACGCCAGTCTCCTGTGGAATGTCCTGGGGGATATTCCTGTGTTTTGTGACCCATCCACCACCCCAGCCTGCCTCCTTATGCTTCCTTCTTTACTCTAGTTAGCACACTGATCACACAATTGCAGCCTTCCTAAATACATGGGTTACATACAAATCACAGGCTTATGTTGGATAAATACGAATTTGGTGCATTACTTTTCATAGGAAAACGTACAAACAGTGCATGAGAACAACCTGAGTTACTCGCCCAACATGGCGCTTTACTTGCCCCAGGCAATCGGGCAATCCTTATTGAAATGTCCTGCAGACAGGCCAACACACTGGAAATATATGGAAGTAAGAGTGAAAATCTGCTCAGTGTTTAGTAAAAATTAAAGTAAATATATTAAATTCAGAGGGCTTTATAGTATGAACAACTTAAAAAATGCTCTATCCTTGGTTTCTTGATTCAGATGAGAGAAAACTCCTCTAAGGCGAAAACATCAAAAAGCACAACAGAGCAGGGATTCCTCTTCCTGAACAGACGTGTAATAGTTCATACACTGTGGACAGTAGTAACAGTTGTAGAATTACAGTACGATACAGAGAAACAATGATATTTTCAGGCAAATTAAGTACAAACGTGTCATGTGTCATTTTGTGCTAAGTGCCATCTCAGTTCAAGATGTAGCATATCAAAGTGTGGGATTGTGTTAATCAGCAGAGCTTAATTCTAATGCTGGTGAGAAATAGATGTCACATTTAAGCACCATTCTCAAGAGAGAGAAGATGGGTTAACGAGTGAGTTAAGACCCCCCCCCCCCCCAGCTGGTAGATATGTGGGGTATTATTATTCTGTAAGGGGTACTGAATAATTCTTAGCTGTCAAAAACCCAGCATGCTAAAATTAGAACGCAGAGGGAGGAGACGAAGCCTGGCAGTCTCCTTGGGAGCCTCCCTGCCTGCAGCCCTGCTTGTCAAAACCTATGGTAATGCTTCTTCCCCTTGAACTACAGACTCTTCCACCATTGTGTGCTTGATACAGAGTCTCAAGGGGCTAATGTTTGCGTGTAATTATGTTGTCCATTACTGACGTGTATGTATTGTGTGTCATAGTGAGGCAAGTAAGCTAACACCCCTCTCTCTGATTCTCTAATAGTCTGCAAAGAAGAGTAGCAGTGAACCCAGTCCTTATGTCCAGCTGACTGTTGGACACAAAACACTTGAGAGCAAGGTGAGTCATATCCAACGGTGTCATTATACTGTCAGATTTTATTCTTTTCTTCCACTATGAGAAAAAAAGCGTAACCTCTGGTGGTGATTATGTTTGCAATCCTCCAATATTAAGTTCTGGACAACCAAAGATTGAATACAGCAGAATACATTCACATTCTTACACACAAAGACATTTTGAACCGCCAACGCATCTCATTCTTTAACCATCCTTCCTTGGAGCTTTCCATTACAAAATATTTCCCTCTGACTGCGGTATTAAAAGAGATGAACTGAAAACTGTTGTACAAGAAAATTAAATGAAGTTCGTAACCTCCAACTTACCATTAATAGTCAGCTAAAGAGCTTCCAGCCTGACATTCAGTGTGTTTACCTGCAATTGCTCACTGGAAACTTAGATAAAGGGTTCAAAAGGGAAATTATTCAGGCGGAAGAACCACGTTAATGGACCCAGGTATGTTTGGTGATGAAGTTTTACTGCAAGCATTTAATGGATTCAAGGAGGTTTGTTATATTAGATCCCTTTTGTAGCAGAGTTATTGGATTGGTACTTTAATTTGAGGCTGTTTACATCCACATCGGATGAATCATGGAGAAATGTTTACTCTTGTCTTTGGCAAGTTAACAAGAACGTCAATAAAGTCGTCATGTTTTAAGTCCCTGAACATAAAAACACCAGACTCTCATATGTCACGATCCTACCGGTTTACGTTGTGGCCATCAGTTTTGATTATTTCAAGACATGATTTCCTGAGAAGTCATGTCTTGTCTATCAGTTTTAGGATTCAAAATACGATAATACCCATGAGTCTTTGCCGTTGGTGCCATGAAGTAGAAGCCAGGAAGAGATGCAGATCAAAGGCATATCAAATTCAGAATGTTTTGTTGCTGCAGATGTTGATTCAGCCTATTTATCTCAAGAAGAACTTCAGGGAATTTCTTCAAATGTGGCATGAACGTCCACTTGGACTCGGCGATGAACTAGTTTGATTTTGTCAATCAGAGGTCAAAGGTCAAGTTCACTGTTACCTTGGGTTTGACTCATTCAATTTCTTAGAATTTGACACAAACATCCATTTTTACTCAATGATACACTGCTGACATTTTGGTGGTCAAAGGTGGCTGTGATCTCAAAGGCCATGACTCAAGAACTCATATGCTTATCATCACAAAATTTTACATCAGTGTCTAATAAAATGGAGAAGTGATTATGTTTTATATCCAAACATTCAAAGGTCACTGTGATGTCATTATGTTCTGCAGAATCACTTTTCTGGCCATTATTTAGTGCCATAACTTAGTAACAGAAGAGGAGACATTTGGTCAGATACTGGATTGGTGACACTAATCTTGGGTGTCCATCTTGAAACAGTGCTGATTGTATAGATCTGTGCTGCTGGGTTGAAAATGTGTGTGAAGCATCCATGTTTTCAAATGTGTAATTTCTTTGAGCCAACATCCACATTTGAAGAGTTGTCTGCCGTCATGGCTACATACTGTTTGAGTCTGACATGGATATAAAACTGTAGCTGCAACTTGACTGATTTGCGGAGGCAGAAAACCGCGAGGCAGTAATTCTAGTTTACAACTTAATTGGCTTCCAGCTGACAAGAGTCATACTAGTCATGTTAGGACTTACACTTAAAATTGTTCATAATGAGGTCCCCAAATATCCGTTCGACTACTTTAACCACCTCAGAGACAATCACAACTACTCAATAAGACATAGCACAACAGATGTAAGCTTTTATTTAAGAATTCAATGGGCAAACACCTTTTTATATACAGCTGAATGACGGCTGTATATAAAGCCCCCCCTCAGAGGATCACAATGGAAATAAGGGTTCCCATGGCTGTTAAAAAACCTAGAAAAGTCATGGAATTTGTAGAAATCATTGAGAGGTTTGGAAAAGCCATGGAATGTTGTTTTGTGTGATGAAATTGTGACAGTAATCTTCCATGGATAACCTTCCACGTAATGTAACGTGATGGCAAATTTATTTTCGGTAGCTGTCGACCAAACGTAGCTGTAATATGTGTCCATGTGTCGTCTCTCGCTTAATGTATGTCAGCTAGTTGAAATTATTAGGGTCCGGGCAGCTAAGCTGCCAGGACACTATTGTGAATTATATTTTGAATGCTGGCGCACACAGTCTGGCCTTAGTCTTCTGTCAGAAAAACTGCAGCTACTAGAGATTTCTTTAACCCTTCTTTAATGATTTCACACAGCTTGGAACAGTGTACAGGATATGTACATTGTGGTTTCCTGAAGCATACAAATAGATAAACAATAATTATATTAGTATGGTACAGAAATAAAGTCATATTACTGTGAACAGAACAGACATGTGATAATGCACAAAGAAAACTGGCCGCACGGGGGCGCCTCAGACCACATTGTTATAATGTAACACACAACAACTGTAAGAAACGTGAATATCGCCAGATGTAGAGCCCATCCGCGGTAGTAAACACTTTATCAAACAGTATTATATGTTTAGAACACATATATAAACAAAGGCGGACATATTAACCAGTCTGTGGCAATATATCTAACGTAAACAACTCCGTGTGCGAGAGTACTGATCATAACATGGCGGCCGTTCTGGCTCCATGCCACGTACATCAGAAAACAGCATAACAATAAACAACTACTGTAAACTTACTTTGCACACACGCACAACGGACACAAGGTGACAGCGTGGGTAGTTATGACTGTACTCCGCTTAACGCTGTCATAACCGTAGAGGAAGTGTGAGGCACTCCACAGGTGTGTCACCAGCCCAGCTGCCTTGGAGGCCGTTCTGTTGTCCTCGTGTTCCCTCTGTACTACTCGGGTCCTTCCAGTGATGTTCAGCTCCTCCTGAACGCAGCAGAGCAGGGAAGTTTGCACAACTATTGTAATCCTAGGTATTTTTCTTCTTTCTTCTTCCGAGGAAATCATACTTCCCATGGGTGAAAACTCACCAAACTTTGCACAAAGGTCCAGTCTCATGCCAGATATCCTCAGCTGTAAACTCAAGCCAATAGTCCTGATTGTGGGCGCTACAGCAAGCGTCTAAAGTTCAAAACTTTGAAAATTCATAACAAATCAACCATACGTGCTACAACTTCACAACTTTCATCAAACTGTAGCCCCAATACTGAAGAAACATTCAAACCTATTAAAAATTATTCATCACTCTGTTTTTTTTCAAAAACAAAAAAACAACTAAAACCAAAAAAAACACACAAATATAACAAAATTGACAAAAAAAAAGCAACACAGCATCTTCAGACTGTCATACAAAAACTAAGTTTCTCAGATTTTTGATTTATCAAAAATTGAGCCTACAGTGCATCAAAATGTTTGACTGTAAACGGTACTGTAAACATATACATGCAAATTCTTGCTAAATAAATCTTCAATGTTCATGACAAAAAAATGACAAAATTCTAGAGTCATGGTAGATGATGTGTGGCAAATTTCATAATTTTATCTCAAAAACTGAATTTTTGACAGCATTTTGAATTTTGCTCTAATGTCAACAATTGGAGTCAATGTAAAAATGGCAATTTTAAATATCAGTTTTTCAATTATGGAGCAAATCAATCAAATCAAATCAAAGCAAATCAAATTGTTACAAACAAATTACCACCATCTCCATGCTGTCTAGATGCAATATGTGTATTTTCAGATTTTTGTCTTAATAACTGAATTTTTTACAGTGGTTTCAAATCTGCCTTTCCATGCACGGATGGCTGCTTTCCTACACAACAGTGAATGGCTTACTCAATTTGTGAAGCCACTCTTGAGTTGCTACTTGCCAATTAGCTCAGAGCGGTAGATGACCGTCTTAGGTTCCAGAGGTTGCTCAGAATTGCCTAAAAATGCCCGGACCCGACCCATCGCTGCGCAGCAGCTATAATGTTTGAATAGAGTTTGAATCTGATATGTTTAAAAAAAATGCCAGGCAAGTAGGCCAAGAAGAAAAAAAAGGTATTATGGGTCCTTGAAAAGTCATGGAAAAGTTTTCAGATTTTGTCCATAAGGATGTTTGGGAACCCTGAATTGTGTAATGTAATTGTCGACAGTTGAGGGTGTATTGTGATACCTGTCTTCACGTGAAGCGGTTTTGTGTGTATTTTATGATCTTTCCATCTATTCAAACAAGGCACCGTGGTCACTGAATACATCCAACATTGTGTATTTGTTTCTCAACACCCTCATTTTAACTACTCAAGTAACAGTTCATATGTTTATTGCTGAAATGCACCTTGGGAGTCCTTGTTAACTTGTCACGTTTGTATCAAAGTCTTATTCACTCACGATTCAATTTCATACGCATTCAAGTCATTGTGTTACAGTGCTACAGTATAGTAGTAGTAGGGTTGTTGTCCTGCTGTATTGTCCTAGGGATGGGGGACTATGTATGTAAGAAAAGGGCCTTGAGTCCTACACTGTTCATTCAGTGTGTATGTGGACATTCTCATACACCCTTATAGCTGAAAAACCCTTTAACCTCATAGTCATTGTTCCATTTAAAATCCAATTTGCTTAAGTACAGAGGCAAAACTATGAAAAGCCTATCGCTGTCCTAATTCTTTATTCATGGAAACAAATCTTGCGGGGAAACTGGAAATTAATTCCTCATGAAAGTCAACAGAGCTAATTATGGTGTTTAAACACTTTATTGTATTAAGTAGAAAAAAGTAGATAATATACAAGAAAAATAACCAAAACATTCAATAAAAGTATATGATATTCAGTTTATAGTATCATTCTGAGAGTTTTAAGTATGTGATATTATGAGTCTACATTTAAGTTTGAGATACAACGCGTCCTAATGACTGAAGGGACCATTGACAGATGACTCCAGATAAATTGTGCTTTTAATTAAGCTGCTCTTTTGTGTCTCTTAATTAACAACTAACAAACGACCACCTGTCTGCCCATAAAGATTCGGCACAAGACCAAGGAGCCACTGTGGGAGGATTGTTTCTCATTCTTTGTCCACAATCCCAGGAGGCAGGAGCTCGAGGTGGAGGTAAAGCTGCATAACCACTCGTTTAAATGTTTCATAAGATCATGCACAAAGTGGTGGAAGTAACGGTCTTGTCTTAAAGGGACAATTCACCCCAAAATAAAAAAATACATGTTTTTTCCTCTTACTTGTAGTGCTGTTTATCAGTCTAGATTGTTCTGGTGTGAGTTGCCGAATGTTGGAGATATCGACCTTAGAGATGTCTGCCTTCTTTTGAATATAATGGAACTAAATGGCACTCAGCATTTGGTGCTCAGAGCCATAAAAAAGGAAAACATACTGTTTTCCTCCTGCCAATCATATCACAGTACAGAGGGAAGCTGTATCTAATGCCAGGCCTCCTAGCAAGTTTCAAGTTTATTTCATGTATATATATCACTTTAAAAAACAAAACAGGTTTTGCATTAAACAAGATTAAAATAAAAGGAGGTTAAACACAATTTAAACCCAGGGAATCAAATGAAAGTTGTAAAACAGGTCAAACACAATTAAAAGCCAGAGATTAAAACATTAAAGATTAAAAGCATCAACAGACTCAGCCTGTCTAACGGCCTCTACGAGGAGCAGCTACAGAAAAAGCCCCCTCACTGACCTTTCCTTTCCACAAACTGGGCGCAGCTGACATGCCACAGTGGGTGGATGTGAGTGGTCAGGTGGTGGTGTACGGGATGAGGTGCAAGACCATGGAGAGGTTTTTAGATAATTCAAAGGATTTTGAAGTCTATCCCGAAAGCAACAGGGAGCCAGTGTAAACATGCAAAGATAGCGGTCATGTGATGTCATTTCTTAGACTGTGTTAAGAACCATGCAGCAGTGTTTTGAATTAGTTGTAAATGTGAGATAGTAGCCTTGGAAATGCTTACGTAGAGGGAGTTACAGTACTTCAGCCAGGATGATATTAGTGCATGAATAACTCCTTCTGGATAAGACGGTGAAAGGAAATCCCCAAATTTGGAGGTAGTTCTTAGCTGGAAGGAGCTTGACCTGACAACGGAATTTACCTGCCTGTTAAACTTAGATTGCCATCAAATGAAACACCCAAGTTCTTAGCATGGGGTCTGACACAGGTGATTAATGTTTTGGGCAATAACAGTGGTATTATGTGGGGGGGGCAAAGAGCAGGATCACTGTCTTGTCCTCATTTAGCTGCAAGGAATTATAAGCCAACCAGTCTTTAATGTCTCAGAGGCAGTTTTGTAGTAGAGTTAAGTCGACCTGATTTTGGGAGTTGAAGGGGAGGTAGATCTGAGTATCACCTATGTAGAAGTGAAAAGAGATTTTTCCCAGCACTACAGAGCCAGCTAACGTTACAACTCAGCTGAGGAGGAGGTCATTAGTCTTTACATCTTGAGCTGTCATGGGCCTCTCGTCCACGAGTAGATTCCATCAACATGGTGATACGATTGACAGGTGCAGTTTGTCAGAAAGGAAATAGTTCCTACATGAAAGTGCTCACCACACTGTCTGTGGATTATCTTCAGTAACCAGGTCATGATTTCTGGAAAGAATTTCTCAAATGTATATGTATTTTTTCAGTGCTTTTATCACCACAAGCTGAGTGCCATCTAGTTGCATTATATTCAAGAGAAAGCAGACATCCCTACGGTCGATATCTCAAACACTCAGCAACTCACACCAAAACAATCTAGCTTGATAAATAGCACTTAAGGTAAGAGGAACAATACGTATTTTTGATTTTGCAGTGAACTGTGCCTTCATAGCTGATCCTCTCCTTTCTTATCACACAGGTAAAAGATGACAAGAACAAATGCACCCTGGGTAATTTGACGGTGCCTTTGAGCAGCCTGTTGGAGGAGGAGGACATGACGCTGACGCAGTGCTTTCCTCTCAGGAACTCCGGTCCCAGCTCCACTATCAAACTAAAGATGGCCCTGAGGGTAAAGATGGACTACAGCACTTCTCACTGTCCTGTCTGCATTAGTGATGGAAGACTTATTCATTTCAGGCCAAGAAAACCAGAACAGATGTTCAAGATGTGCTGATTCAAACAGAATGAGTATCAGATTCAGTGACACAGTACATGGAGCTAATGTTGCGACAAAGCAAGTGTTGCAGTGTCAACAATAATCTGAAAATTATTAATTGCATTTATAACATCTTACTATCTCAGATCAGTTCTAATTTGACCTCTGGCCTGCACCTTTAGTAGTAACTTGCTACAGCTAGATGTCAAGGTTTCTCCACAATGCTTGATTTCAGACAGAGGTAGAAAGAAGCAAGGTCCTCATTTCTCGCTCGGAACCATCAGTTTTTTTCTGACAGTATTTTTTATCTAAAATTTACACCATGAATTACAGCCTTACATTCATATAATATATAACACAACATAAAACTGCTACATTGGTATAAACGAAGTAAAGTTATATTCAAAACAAGAATGCTCCTCCTGTTTTAATAGATGGTAATACAAAATTGAGTATATTAATTGCAATATATGCAAAAAATAAGAGGTCTACAAGCTTGGAAACTAAATTGTCCACAGAAATTAGTCATGCACTTGATCATCTATTAAACGTCCAGTGTATGTATTGGCAGAAATGGAATATAATATATGTTAAGCATGTTTTCTTTGGTGTATAATTACGTGAAAATAAGAACCCTTGTGTTTTCCATACCTTAGAATTACCTGTTTATATCAACATAGGGAGCAGGTCCTTGTCTATAGAGATCACCATGTTACTACAGTAGCCCAGAGCGGACAAATCAAACACTGGTTCTAGATAGGGCCATTCGTATTTTCACATCGGCCACCATACTTAGCAGCCCCTCCGCTACGAAAGCATTGGAAAAACACAGAATTTTTCAACGTGAAACTGCTTTATTCAGTGTTTTTACTGGTTTAAATCAATTGGTTCATTTGTTTTGGAGAGAAACAGACCTCTGCGGATAATTCTGCTCCCAGTAAAAACCTCCTGAACAATGAACACTGAAGGAAAACTAACCAGGAGAAGTTTCAGCTGGTCGCAATCTGCAATTCTCACCACCAGCTGTCATGAAATCCCCCTAAATCTTACACACTGTTCCTTTAAATCTTAAACCTTGACGTAATTAATGAACGCCACCATATATTTTCAAATATATACTGTTTAGCCATTAAAATGTAAGTAATCCTTTTAACAGAAGGCTCGCTAACATACATCTTATCCGTTGAGTAGAGCTTGATCTGAGAGTCTTTTTCTGAGGTCAATAAATTCTCATTTATTTTTACTTTAATTATGTTTCTCTGGATATCAGCCTAACAGTAAAAGCTTTGGGTCCAGTAAGATTTGTTTTGAAATAATCTTCTCAATTACAGCTCTCACTTCTTTCCAGAATGTTATAGATTTTTTTGGCATTCATTTATTATCCCTAACAGCTCAGGGTTCAGGGTCGTGGGGGGCTGGAGCCTATCCCAGCTGGCACTGGGTGAGAGGCGGGGTACACTGTCACAGGGTTATGGAACATTGAGACTCCACTCAGAAGTACCCTGCTAGCCGGCAGGATCAATCTTGGCGACTTCTTGCTGTGAGGCAACAGTGCAAACTGCTGCACCACTGTGCCACCTCTCTTTGTGTCGCCAAATATAATGAAACAATGTTCCTCTGGTTTCCGTACATTTTGTGCAAATGTCTCCAATGTTTTTGTTATATCGATTTGATTCCACCAGTGACATAAATGTCTGCATTCAGTTTATACTGTATTAGTTTAAGACGTGCATTTATCATCAGCACAATCTGCTTTCCAATTTTCATCTGAAAGTTCTCCGACTACGTGGAGTTTGCATGTTCTCCACCTTCTCAGCATGACTTCTTCCCCCCACAGTCCAAAGACATGCAGGTTAGGTTAATTGGGGACTTTAAATTACCAGTAAGTGTGAATGTGAGTGTGAATGGTTGTCTCAGTGTGTCAGTCCTGTGATAGTCCTGTGTCCTGTACAGGGTGTACCTTGCCTTTCTCGAGTCAGCTGGGATTTGCTCCAGCCCCCTGTGCCTCTGAAAAGGATAAGCAGTTATGTATAATGAGTTTACCTTCCAGGCATTACATGTATAATGAGAATTTTCAGATGAATAACATGTCAGCAAATTTTAAAACCCTTTCATAAGCTGTCCTTTATCATCATTTTTGTCCAAAGGTGAATGTAGGGGGCTGGTACAAGCATTAGAACAGTTGATTTTGCTGGTTGAAATGTCAACTGTCTGCATCAGATTTTATTTATATTTAACCTTTGTGTAACCAGGAGAGTCCAAGGGACACCAGGAGACCTTTGTCAGTTGTAGGTTGTTGAAAAAACACTCTCACTGGCTGACTTTTTCATTTTTAGTTTCCAATTGACTAGTTTTGAAATGAATGAGAATATTCTAAAAGTAGTCCTAATTATGCACGTGATAGCTGCATGCATGATGTACTGCAAGAACACTGAGGCTTAAAATACATGACCCCGGCAGAAAGTCAGGATCTTGGCAGTGTACAGTGTTGACTATAGACCTGTATACAGTATTTGGAGTGTTGTATTACTGTTTTTGGGGACTTCATAGAGTTGAAGGTTGCTATACCCAAATTGAAAATACATACATTTATTAATCAAATTAAATAGAACTTAAAATGCTCTTGCTTCTCCCTAGTGGTGTGTGGCCATTTAGAGAGTTGGATGAATTTGCGATATCTCTCAGCTGAAATCTCACCGATACAATGACGGTGAATGTAATTTTGTTTGTGATACAGCATTATAAAAACATGAAATTCAGTCCACATCTACAGAACATAATGCACAGCTTTCAGTGGACCTTCTTCATAATGAAGAGATACTTACTATAAACACTCAGTATTGCTGTTACAAGATACAGATAAGGTATTATTGACTTTCTGTTTCTGACAAGAATAATTTCAGTTGCTGCCTAAAACCACAGAACAAGTAAAGTAAATCGTATTGCATTCATGACACTGACACAAAGAACATTCTCCATTATTGATTCGTCACAACTGATCAAATAAGAAAATGAATGCAGCCGTTTCAAATATTGACCCGCATTGAAATAGCTTTCCTGTATTGGATCACAACCAGCATATCAAGATTCACAACAGATATCCAAAAAGGAAAATTGCTTTACAGGCTTATTGACCTTTCTGGGACCAGAGGATAGAAGGATAGATAGATAAATCCATAATGACACATTTGGCTTTACTAACACCCTCAAAGATATAGATGTTTTTCAGCAGTATCAGCAGTTTTAAGATGATTTTTCAAGGAAGGATTAGTCACTGTGACCACACAGTTTTTAAACCGGTTGAGTACTTTAGTGGCTCTAAGGTTGTATTTAAAGCCACCAACGTAACCAAATCCCCTTTGAAAAACCTTTTTTGTGGAGTTAAAAGGGCGGATCCATCTGGGTTCTTTAGCCGCTAGCAAGAAGCAGTGACATAGGTTAGAGCAGTGATTGCTGCTAATGCTAAAAGGGTTAGTTCAGATTTTTTAAAGTGCCGTTGTATAAAGCAGAGTCCTGCATTAGGTTTGGTACCGAGCAGACAACCCACAGAAAAGGTGATGATTTGCAGGTTGTATTTTGTCTTGATTTTATTTCCAGGTTCATGCTGGGTGAAAAAAAGAACACGGGGGTCAGACTGTGGGTGTTGGAGGATAACTATACCAAAATAAATTAATAATAATAATTTAACTTAGGGCGCACCTTTGCCTCGCCGCAAGAGGGTTCAGGGTTTGAACCTGGCAGCGGGCAATGACCTTTCTATGCGGAATTTGCATGTTCTCCTTATGTCAGCGTGGGTTTTCTCTGGGTACTCCGGCTTCCTCCAACAATCCAAAGACATGCAGGTTAATTGGTGACTCTAAATTGTCCGTAGGTGTGAATGTGAGTGTGAATGGTTGTCTGTCTCTATGTGTCAGCCCTGTGATAGTCTGGTGACCTGTCCAGGGTGTACCCTGTCTCTTGTCCAATGTCAGCTGGGATAGGCTCCAGACCCCTGTGACCCCCAACAGGATAAGTGGTTACAGATATTGAATTTATGAATAATGAAGAATTTAATTTATTGTTTTGACATTTAATCCTCTGACTGCTGAATATGCGTGTCGGCTCTGTCGTCTGTGCCAGCTGGAATATAAAAGCCACTTCAATCAAGTGCGTTATTGCAGTCATGTTAACTGTGGATATGTGCTGCTCAAAACAAAAAATGTTCATTTAAATACATTTCCACTACCTGGAGCTCGTATAAACGGAGCCTGGGTTTGTTGAAGGTGACAGTGCTGTGTGGGCTGAGAAAGCCATGTGTAAGTAAGATAAAGGAGGTTGTTGGGTCGGTGTGGGGAGCAGTGAGAGCTGGCATTAGGGGAGTGTCTCTGGGACACCAGAGATCACTGTCTAGTCTCCTGTAGGTGTTGTGGGACCAACTAGACGAAACACTGGTGAAAGGAAGTTCCCACCTGATGACCCCAAAGACAAGTTAGTTATCACTGCTCACTGGTCAGTATAATACCGATCTTTACCTTACCGTCAAAACAAACAAATGACAAAAACAGTAATTTTACCTCACAGAACACAGGAGTTGCTGATCTACCACTGCCTTCATTGGTTAGTTTATGTGTGTCATTGTGGAACTTTCAAATCAAACTAATGTGGCGTCCACAGCAGCACGTTGCTTAGCCTCCGTGTCGGTTAGTGGGTTAGAGAAATATAGCTAATTTCAACGATCAATAACTCACAATTCTGAAAGAAGGCTTGGCTCAGTCATGAAGAGGCACATCAGGGAGGTTAGAGCGTTTACTTGTAGCAACTTTACCATGCGGAAACCTACATCTGGTCACATGTGCTTGAGAGAATAGCATTTGAAGCTAAAATATACAGACTTTGCCAAAATTTGAATGTTTGAATTTGAGAACGCAAGAAACACTACTGGGAAGCTACAGAATGTATATTAAACTAAAACATATATATTGGACGTGCCCTTTAAGAAAATTAGGAAGATATTTTACTTGAGTTGCCGTACTTAAACAGGAAATAGCCAGAGTAAAATCCTATAAATTAGTCAGATTATTATTCCAGTGCTTTGCTGTAGTTCTTCTTCATTATTCTCAGTGATGTTGTCCTGTCTCTCTGTAGATCCTGTCCCTGGAAAAGCAGGTCTCCTCAGACCAGCCCTCCTCCGTCCAGGTCAGGAAGTCCAGTGTGCCGCAGCCGTCCACAGCCCCCATCCCGAGACGATCTGTTTCAGATTCCCCGCTGCCTCCACCCACGCCTCCTCCACCTATAGACGCTTCCACCCTCACCCTCCAACACAGGGACGGCGAGCCGTACTCAGCCAGCCCTCTCCGCAGTCTCTCCAACCTCAGCACCTCCATGTCTAGTTCCCAGAAACACCTGCCTCACAAGGAGTCCACACCCAGCCTGGCCTCGGATATCTCGCTGCCCTTCGCCACTTTGGAGCTCCAGCAACGGCTCCGTCAGCTGCAGAAGTAAATGGCACAAGTGATATATTGCTTTTTTATAACTGTTGACCACCTAGTGTTCCTGTCATTGAGCTGTTGCTGTTTGTTTAGCTGTTTATTTAAAAGGAACCATGTGCAGTTTAAAACAAAGATGGCAGCATTTGATGCACTGAACTAGAGGATCTCATTGGTTTTCAGTTTATTTGTGTAATTTAAATTCTGCAGTCGCCTCTGAAAGAATGCCATCTTGACTCTTTTTTTCTAGAAGATGCATCTTTATGAATCTTTTATCTGACTACCTTTAGAACTATCCATCTGTCCCTGCTGTATAATTTAAGTGCAGTCTCTAGAAGTGACACTGAAGTACTCTGGTGTGTTTTATAGCGGCTCGGCCCCCAGCCAGTACCCCCTGGGTGAGGTCCAACTGACTGTCCGACACAGCTCCCAGAGGAACAAACTCATTGTGGTGGCGCACGCCTGCCGGTGAGGTCCACAACGGCCATCATACCATGCATCTAAATTTGTTTTCTGAGAGATATATTGTGGACTTGTTTGAAGGTGGTCTCGTTTTCAAGGACTGTTACCAACTCATTTGTGTTTTTGGCCCAAGTCTCGCTCATTTATAATAATTTGTGGGTAGTGAGTCGTCAGTATTCCTCTTGCTTTCTGTAGAGCCACAAACATTTAAGAATAAACAGGCACCTTTAATCTAAGCAACATGTGACTGGCAACATGTGAGTGAAACAATTTTGTCCTGTGTGTCTTCAGTAACTTGATAGCCTTCACCAAAGACGGCTCGGATCCCTTCATCCGCCTGTACTTGCTGCCTGACAAGAGCCGGACGGGGAGGAGGAAGACCAGCACAATGAAGAGGACCCTTAACCCTGTTTATGATCAAACGTGGGTTTAGATATTATTACTAACTCGTGCTTAAAGATTTGTCAGTGGCATGTTTGTTACCTAAAAAGTATGACTATCAGATTTGTGCTGCAGCTCTCAGGCTTCTCACTTGTGCCTTTTTCCTGAAGGTTTATAGGTTTTTGAATAGGGTTAATGTTTGTAGTTAGAACATTATTATGTTAATGCAAAAGCTGGTGTTTAGTTTTCATTGTTAACCTTTATTAAGATCAGGGGTGTCTTAAGGTCTTTCTTAGATATATTCAAACATTCAAGGGTAACTTAGGGATTTTTGCAACCTTATTTTCACATCTTTTTGTGTCTAAGTAACTAATGGAGACAACAAGTTATGAAACTGGTCCATTATTGAGTGAGAACACTGCAGCTTGCAGTGGTGAAACAAGCTGCAACATAACCACTCGCGGCATTTGTGCACCCTCAATGTACGTCCACTTAAAGTGCTTGTTTTTGCCACTGACAGGCTCAGATTGGTAAAATAAGTGTCAGACAACATTATGGAACAGATCCCCATAGACAGAGACCTTTTGTTAAAGAGTAAGATCCTTTTTTTAAACGAGAAAGCTCAGAAATCACTTTCCCCAAACCAACCAAACTCCATTTAAATAAACAGTGATTTTAGAGTGCATAGAGCCTGTATATTTTCACATCCTCCTGAGTGAATTGAGAGTTTATTTCAACCAAACCAGGGGTGATGATGGTTGAAACAGTGTAAAGATGAACCAAGACGGCTTTTGCAAGTTTTAGTTTGTTTTTATCAAGTTTGAATGAAGTGTGTTTTATGATGATAAAAATTACTGTTTTTTTCAATGGAGTCTGGTGGCTTTGGTGATAGTAATTTCAGGCTGTGTTAAACAAAAAGGATCTTATGCTTTAATAAAAAGGTCAATCTCAGCAGGTATCGTTTACATAATGTTGTCAGACACTTAAAATAACAATCTGAGCCTGTCATTGGCAAAATGAAACACTTTTAGTTGATGTAAATTGATGGCGCACAATTGCCCCAAGGGGTTACATTGCAGCCTGTTTCAGTCTTGCTCAATGCTGGGCCAATTTCAAAAATAGTTGTTCCCATTAGCCACTTGGACGCAAAAACATGACAACATAGGGTTCATGTTGAAAAATACCAGTTACCCTTTAAAAGCTTGATGCAAATCAAACACAGAAAGCACATCTAGGGTGCGACTGTGTAATATTTCATTCCAAATTTTTAATAACTATTGATGAAAATGTCTCATGTTTTAAACAAATTAAGCCTTTTTATTTGATGAATAACTCTGTGGTAGATTGGTATCATAAAATCTATTTAATGTGTGTGTGCAGGTTTGAGTTTAGTGTATCTATGGTGGAGCTCCACAGGAGAACTCTGGATGTAGCAGTGAAGAACGGCGGGAGCATCCTGTCCAAACACAAAGGGCTTTTAGGAAAGGTAATGTCTGTCTGTTTTTATGTATAACCTACAGCAGCAGATTCACTCCCACTGATGCTCATATACCATAAACTTAATGTTTCTTTTGCTGTTTTGTCCAAAATCTTAGGTGCTGGTAGATTTAAGTGGAGAGGATATATCAAAAGGATGGACACAGTGGTAAGCTTGTGTTTTATTTTTGCCCTGTGCAGCACTGAGTGATAATAAACAGCCTGTTTTAGTGCTTAAATATATATATTTTTGTTGTTTTCTCTTGCAGGTATGAGCTGAGTGAAGATGGAGTGTCGTCTCAAAGCATCAGAAGCATTCAAGACTCCCTCAACTCATTGTGAAATCACCTCTCTGCTGTAATATAGTGATCTTGTTAATATAAGGGCACATCATTTTGTTGTATCCATGTACACTTTTCATATAGTTTACAGGACTTATTTCAGCATGCAACAACTTTTTCAAGCATTTCCAATCATTGTTTCCATCCACGATTTCATGACGGTGATGGGAGGATGTTGTAAGATATTGTAATGCGTTGAAACACTAACTGCCTTGTCTCTGTTTAAGTGTTTTATGTAAATAGCAAGTCGCTGATATATAAGAATTTGCAGGGGTATTCATGGCATTATATTTCCTCGAGAGGAATTATATTGAAATCTGTCAAAACTGTTATTGCTTTCTGTCCCGTTTGTTTGAATGTGACAAAGTGTGTTCTGTTGTCTGAGAAAACTTTAACCAAAGGAACAGAAACAATCACAAACGTAGGCTTTAGTAGCAGAGCAGGCTTGACTTTGAACATTTTTTTGTCATGCAGTGTTATTTGATTGTTTACCTCTTATTGTTCTTTATGCTTGATTACAAACATGGAATGCACATATGCAAGGAATAAAATGATTGCTCTGCAAATGTTACGAGGACTCTGTGCAATACTGGATGTTAATGAGGAGCTGGGGGCATTTTAGGGCTATGAACAAGTGCTGTATAATATGAAGGATACTTGAATTAGGGTTTGATGGATGTTCAAACCAAACGCAAGTCGAACAAACTGAATAAAATGAGCAGCGACGGCAGTTATTGCGTTTCCTGAGCGGGGCTGCCACAACTTGTTGTGAAGATGACACAGCTATGTCGTAAGGCCTGTACATGTTTTGCCATGCAGTCATAACTGTGTGTTGGAGGTTTTTAAATAAGTTTGTTGTTATCTATCCTGTGCCTTAAAAAACCTGCTATGTAATTTTTGCCTTCTTAATGTTATTATTTTGAATGATATGATGCCTCGTGGGTTTTGAGGAATAAATGGTTTCTCTTGTGAAAATGGTCTCACTTGTTTGCTTGTCTTTTAATTTGGTCTGTTCAGCCACAAAGAATATGAATTATTACCACTTTCAAAACAATATATATTCAGTGGTTAAAAAACTCAGATCATTTAGTGAAGTAAAAGGAAACGATAAAACTGTAGAAGTACTGTTTTACAAGCAAGTTTTTTTGTTTTGTTTTCGTGTTACTTAATGGATAACTTAAGCATTTTTCAACCTGGGCCCTATTTCCCCTTGTCAGTTGATCAAAGACACTGATGTGAACAATTTTTGAAATCGGTCTAGAGCTGACCGCAGCCAGCAGCCGCTGAATAAGCTGCAATGGAGTCACACAGGGCAATTAAACATTGTTACTGTAAAGTGTCTCTTTACCTTTCACTTGATCTGATCGGTTTGTTATTGCCTCGTTTAGCAGATGTCTCTTTTAATTTACACGGGGAAATGGGTCCAGGGTGAAAAATGTTGATGGTATCTTTTAAACATGGCAGTAAGTAAGTTACTCAGGAGAATATGCTAAGCTAAAGGGTAGGTCTAATAAGCTTAAGCTTCAGCCTACACCTTTTTGAACTGTTTTTGTTTGTTTTTGCTATTAGTTTAAAACTCCTTGATTAAGGACCAAAAAAATATAACTAACTGATTAAATAAATGAGCTGCTTGAAAGATGTTACCTAAGTAAAAGTACAAAAGTATCAGTGTCAAAATATACTCAAATTTCCCAAAGTAAAAGTATTCATCATGCAGAATGACCCATTTCAGAAAAATATATATTATATTATGGATTATAATCACTGATCGATTTAATACTGCAGCTGGTAATTTTAAATACTTTATATACTGCCATGTACCTTAAATTATAATAATGTATCATATTTCAGTAGTTATTTAGGCTATATTTTGTATTAATCTGAATCTGTAAAGTCACTAGAAACCAAATTTATCAAATAAAGTAAAGTAAAAGTCGCTTGAAATGGAATTACTCAAAAAAAGCACCTCAAACAGAGTATTTGAGTTAATTTTATACTTTTCACCAACTGTAAACCATTTGTAGATTGGTGCTGAAGTGCCCCTGGGCAAAATTCAGAATTCAACCTTGCTTGCAGCATAATTTCCTGTCAGGATTGGGTGTAATCGATAAAATAGATTTCCTACAGAATAAATAAAATCACGTGTGCAGCAACAGTGTAAAGCTCTGTGCTCTCTGTTGAGGTGAAGGCGACCCACTCTGTAAAACATATGAAGTCATTTGTCTCCATCTAGTGGCAGAACAAGGAAACGACAATGATACGTCGGCGTCTTAGTGGACGTAGACGTCATGACGCACGTTATACAAATTTGCGCGGGTTTGCTGTTGTTATGGGAGGCTGTCATCCGGCGGTTTCATCCAGAAAGTTATAAATAAAAAGGTAAAAGACGAAGCTTTTGGTTCATATTTTATATCTTTATGATTATAAGTCATTATACTACAACTACCAACAGGCAGAGTCGTATTAACGTGCGCAAATAACACTTTAAACGGTAACGACAAACGGGCTGCCATATTTGTTTTGAACCAGTTACAGTAAGGTCAGTTAGCTAAATATACGTTAGCTAATCGTTAACGTTGTTGTGTTTTTCATTGTAGGTTTCTTGGGAATCTTCACGTCGCTTGGAAAACCGAAAACATGTCCAAGCGAGAGGCGTTTATAGAGTCCGTCTGTAAGGAAAATGTGGAGGACTTCCTCCGCTTCATCCAGCTTCATGTGAGTGATTTCATGTAACGTTTAGTGACACTGCAGGAAGCCACCAGAATATCTCTTAACATTAGATGTGTTTCAAAATGTAATGTAAGGTTATTACTTGTATATTAAGGGCTTTGCGTCAAAACTTAGCTCATAATTGAGAGATAAAGTAAACTGTGGGCTCAGAAATGACCATAAAGTTAAATAAACATCTCTAAACCTGTTTAAATCAAAACCATTTACACCTTCTTAACCTGTAACAGGATCTCTGCAGGTCCTTAAAAGTCTCTTAAATGCATTTTTTTACTATAAGCCTTAAAAGTAATCAGTCTCAATGACTTTGAACGTGTTTGGTTTTAATTGCCACAAACATTTTATCTAATTTGATTTATCCATCTTCTAATTTCTTTTTATCAGAAGGTGTCAAGCTCTTGTGCGTCCACATTTTTGATGTTAAGAAGTCTTTAAACCTACCACTGAACCTAATAGTGTCCTTTTACTTTATACTTGCACTTACCTGTTGGCAAACTTTAGGTTAGCTCACTCATCCTTATAAGCATATTCCTACAGAAAATGCATCTCCACACAGGGCTTTATTTATACTACTTATTTTTACCTGCAATGCTTGAATAAGACAAAGACAGTTCGTCCAAAAATCTGTCTCAAATTTGGTTAAATACCTGTAGACATCCAGTTGAAATACTGTTGTATTTGATTGCATCAGTTTCAGCACGTTCTGTAACTGACCACTAAATGCATGTCTACATATTGTTAAATCTTAGGGCTGCTGTCAAACTGTGCCTACATGGCAACAAAAGAGTTTATCTTGGGTGTGTTGGTACAATGGACCAAGACAGGACAGCAGAGGAGCTACCCACACACCAATACGGCTGGGCTGGACAGCCTCAAAAATACTGATGATTGTCAAGGGCTGAAACTTTTGCTCACATTTTATTATTTTTTGCACTTTGAGCACTCTTATTTTTGTGCACAGACGTTCTGAATAAATTGACAGTTTTTTCGCATTGCTCTCAGCCTGAATCTTTTATGTGGCTGTCCAGCCCACCTGTATCCTACATTTAAAAAAAAACAATTGTGAAGTGTGGTACAGGCTCAGTTTGGGAATTTGAAGTCTGTACAATTTGGGAATTTCATTTGGGAAATTGATCTAAATTTTAAAACTGAAGTAATCAATTAATTAAGCACTGTACACAGAAATGTGATGTGTAGAAACTGTCAGATGTCATCAAATGTAAGACTAAATGTCAAAGTAGGACACATGTTAGTAGAGCCCAAATTTAAGTGATTTACTGACTGACAGCATCAAAACACAAAGTACAAAGAATTCACTGAAGCACAGAAAAGCCAGCAATAATTAAAATTTTTAAACAGAAGTTTGGTATTTTACTTCATAACTGGTTATCAATATGTGCAACAGATTTTATTTTCTATGTCATCTAATACTGGGAATGAATAACCTACAGTTAAACACAGTTTGTGTTTTTCTAGCTGTCTGTGTTTTTATCCTGCATGTCTCAAGCTGTGTCTGTCCCGCTCCTGTCTGTGTCTCTGAGCAGAAGGACAAAACGGAGCCTTTTGATGTGGAGGAGGTGGTGCAGGAGATGCCCAGAGACCAGAGACAGGCTCTGTGGAGAAAACTGGTCTCACTCCTTGAGGATGTCCTGCAGGAGTTACCTCCAGAGCGTTGGGGCGAGGGCAGGGAGCAGGGCAGGGAGGACAGCATGGAAGTGGAGTCAGCTGCAGACCCTGTGAGTTTACCAGTTTATGTACAATTGTGACATAAACTTTAATGGTATGAGAATCTGATATTCTGTTGCTGTTGTTTAGATTTATGTTAGACTGTATATCAAAACGAACATACTTTTATGTCATATTCAGAAACATGTCATGGCTGTTGTGGATGGTGTGACACTGGTGGCTGCCGTGTCCTCAAAGGTCCTGCAAGATGGTGACACCTACACTGCCCTTTTGGAACTTGCCCACAGGCTACACAGTCAGTGTCTTTGATGATTTTTATCCAAGCTAAATCGATGCGTCTTCAGGTTTGTTATTTTTCTTACTTCATGGTGATGTTTGTGTCTTTCCCTCAGATGTTCTGGTGTCGCTGCCTGTCTCAGAGGCACCTCTGCAGCGCCATATCCACACACTGTGCGAGGCCTGGTGGAAGAAGGGGCTGAAGGAGAAAGAACAGTTTGGTCGCACAGCTTTCTTCATCTCTCTGCAGAAGAGCTTCATTTTGAAGAAACCAGTCAGTATATGACCTCAGTTTCATGTCAGAACAGTCTATATTGGGCCTTTTGCTCTGTTTTCAGTTCCAGTAGTTGTGTAGCATTATTTTGTATAAATTGCAATGCTTCCTCTGTGTTGTCAGGGTGCTGAGATCCAAAGAGTCTGGAGTCTCCGTGATGTGCTTTTGAGTCTGGACTACACATCAGAAGACAACAAGCAGATCATTGACATGTTGCTTCAGTGCTTTCACCGTCCTGTTTACATTAGAAAAGATGACGTGAGTAGAGTGATATTGTGCTGCTGTGTGTGTTTGAGTCACTGAGTCAGTTTTGTTTCTTGCTGTTGTGGTTTTGACTTCAAGTTGTCAGCCTGATGATGTGTATTGTCACAGGGAAAGCGATTCCTGGTATTTCTTTTCAGCTGGAACGTAAACTTCATCTGGGTTATTCACGGCACCATCAAAAACCAGCTGCAGTTTTATAGCAAGTAAGACGCTTAACTTTTTGATCTGTTTGAAAGGTGTCAATTTTATTTTCATGTTATTTACAACTCAATCATTCTGTGCAGGACCATGACTACTCATATTACAGAGGTCTACTTCAGAGCATGGAAGAAGGCTAGCGAGGACTTCCTGGAGGAAATTGAGAACTCATGCATTCAGGATTTTATGCAGAATGCGATCTTCCTTCATAGAGCATCTCCTGTCCACGCCAAAGTCCGACAGGTAGACTTATTAGCTGCTCTTTCCCAGCATTATCAGTCATGATGTGACAGTACTGTGTGTATTTCTCCTCTGATCTCCTTGCTTTCATACACAGATTGTGAGCTACTTCCACACAAGGAAGGGCTGTAACAAGGTGGATAAGATGCTCTGTAATCTCTACAAGCCCATTCTCTGGAAAGCTTTAAGTGTAAGGATACTGATTTCTAACTGTATTCAGTTTTTTTTTTTGTTTTTTTTTTAAGTATTTTATTCCAGTCTAATGTGTTTGTGTTTGATTTCCTCAGGCTCCAAACTTTGAGGTG